CGCCCGGCCGGCCGTTCCGAGCGCTTCCCCCCTTGCAGACCATCGGGGCCGCCTTCGTGGCCAAGGTGATGTCCGTCGGGGACCGGACAGTGACGCTGGGTATTTGGGTAAGTCTTCTGGGCATCCGACGCCGGAAACTCGTTCCCGGTCTGTCACTCGCGGGCTGGCTCGTGGCCTCACAGAAGCCACTTCTCTTCTCTAGACCCCAGCTTCCTCATCTGGAAAATGGGGGGCTGGAGGACGTGGCCTTAGTTTGACTCAGGCCAGGGCTGAGCCTCCCCTGCCCTTTAGGACACAGCAGGCTCTGAGCGCTATGAGGCCTTGAGCAGGATGTACTATCGGGGGGCCAAGGCGGCTATCGTCTGCTACGGTAAGGGGGCTTCTGGGTTGCTCTCAAGCGGAAGGGGTGGGTGCCGCGCTGGCCCGGAGGACGGCTCCCCCCTCTCGGTTGTCTCCCGCATGCCCCGCCAAGACCTCACCGACAGCAGCAGCTTTGAGCGAGCCAAGTTCTGGGTGAAGGAGCTACGCAGCCTGGAGGAGGTAGGCACCCGCCGCCCGGAGACCGAGGTCTGTGGAGGCGACCTGTCGGTCTGTGGAGGCGACCCGCCTTGACTTCTGCCCCAGGGCTGTCAGATCTACCTGTGTGGCACCAAGAGCGACCTGCTGGAGGAGGACCGGCGGCGGCGACGCGTGGACTTCCACGACGTCCAGGACTACGCAGACAGTAGCTGCTTCTCGGCCCCCGGGGGCGGGGGGCAGGGTTGTGGCTGCGTGGGCGGGTCCCAGGAGCCGGGGCTGCTGGGGCAAGGCGCCCCAGGGGGGCTCCAGGAGACTCCCCGAATTGCTAGACCTCCCCTTTGCGTTTACCTAGTTCTCAGATGTGAGGCTGTAGTCACTTCTCTTTACAGATATCAAAGCTCAGCTCTTTGAAACATCCAGCAAGACAGGCCAGTGTGTGGGTGAGTGCCGTCTTGGGGCCTCCCGGCAGGGACAGGCAGGGGCACCAGAGGAAGCAGAACGGAGCCCAGAGGGCTGGGCTCCGAGATCCCCGGGCTGCCGGCGGTGGGCCCTCCCTGATCATCATTTTTCCTGCCAGACGAGCTCTTCCAGAAAGTGGCCGAGGATTACGTCAGCGTGGCTGCCTTCCAGGTGATGACAGGTGCGTGCTTCTTCCTTTGGGCTACAGCACTTACCCCAGGCCCTTTGCAAGTTACCTGCTCCCAACAGAATGATGCTGAGCTGCCACCTTTCTCTTTGACAGAGGACAAGGGCGTGGACCTGGGCCAGAAGGCAAACCCCTACTTCTACAGCTGTTGTCATCACTGAGTCACCTGGCCTGGGGCAATCAAGGGAATTCCCCAGAGCGGCTGGGCTTGGGTGGTCAGATGTCTGAGCTACCCCAGGTCTCCGTGGCTGCAGAGGGGGCACCTGCCTGTGCTGGCCATGCAACGGAGGCAGCATTGGGCTGACTGTGGCCATGAGGAAGGAAAAGGGCCGATTTGGACTCCGGGTTTCTGCCCTGGACAGCACTTCTGTCTGCAGATTATTTAAGTGGCTTCTGATCTGTAAATAAAATCAAGGCACTGTGAATCACACTCAGCCCCTCTCCCTGCTGTGTGGACTGGGTGTCAAGACACCTGGTTCTTTCTGGGGCCACCTGGCTGGCCTCGCTTCTCATATTAAGGCTCCTTCATCTCTGACTCTCCTTAGGAAGCAGGACATCTCCCAGGGTTAGAACTGACCTGCTGGGGAAACGAAGGGCTTTTTCCTGTTCTTCAGGGGGATGCTGGGGCTGAGGCAGCACAAAGCTCACAATTCCTTCTGGGGGCCAAGAGCAGCACCAAAGCTGTGCCCAGAGAGCCAAGGGTCAGACACCGCCACCGCCACAGGCTGGTGTGGCTGGCTCTGCTGCCTCTCATGTCTGGGTCCGAGTCAGTCAGACTTGGGAGTCAGGCCCTGGGCTTCCCAGTGACATCCTGCAGCTTTAATGGGAGGAGTCTCCAGTTATGCAAGACAAAGGTCTCATGGATCCACATTCAGACCAATTCACCTACTGACTCAGATGAGGGACTTCAACCCTAGCGCGAGTGTCTCCTCTGCAAAATGAGGTGACGATGACCTGGCCCCAATAAGTGTGAAGACGCTGAGTGAAAAGACCCTTTAGTACTACATGCTTTCCCCACCCTGCTGTGGGGTGCTTGCTGAAAGGGCAGGAAGGTCAGGACCAGGTCAGCAGGGCAGACAGGCTCCCAAGAGTCCCCAAAGTACTGGGCCTTGAAGGTCCAAATGAAGGATCAGGTGTTGCTGTTGACAGGGCTGAGGCTCCCTGTTCTGCCAGATGGAAATGCGCTGTTGCCCCTTCTGGCACGGATGTGTGACTCCAGCCGGGGTCTTGCCTCCCTGCTCACCCTCCGCCTCTGCCCTCCCGACCACCTTTGCAGCACCCCCCTGCAGCATTGAAAACTCGGCCAACACGGTCAGACTCACACGCTTAAGTGCTCTGGCTCCACTTATCTTGTTAAAACTCCATTTCTCAGAATACCTGCCCTTCGTGAGTGGGGGCGGCTTCCTGTGGAGGGGCAGAGACGTACACCACACTCCCAACAGGAGAGATACTCAGGCAGCCCATGCCGCCTCGTTGGGCTTAGGGCCACTGTTCCCGGTGCAGCCCCTGGGGGACTGTGTTCTCTCTGGGGCTGGCTTCTCTCCGAGCCCCAGCCAGTCCACCCTCCCTTCGGGCTCATCTCCCCACAGACAAGAAAACAAAACACAGGGCAAGGGCCATATGAGTAAAGTTAAACTTTACTTTACAGTAATTTTTTTCTATATACAAAGAATTACAGTACATGTTTAGGGGGACTCCTAGCACAGGGCTCCCCTCTTTCACTAGGAGTTTCTCTTACAGCTGACGATCTACGGGGCTGGGGGGCAAAAAACAACAATGGGTCTTGGCGGCCCCCGCCCACCCCCTTCTTGAAAATATAAAGCTCGATCTCTTTCGCCAGCAGGCTTCTTTGCCGAGACCTAAGAAGCTGCTCTGCCGTGGGCCCCTGTGCTGCACGTGCACCTCTGCACACTCACCGACACCGCACAGGCAGCACCCCCTCGGAGCTGGGGAACGCCCCCCCTGCCCTGCCCTGCCCAAACCCGGCGTCGCCAGCACCAGAACCGCTCCTCGCTGTGCTCACCTGCCCGCAAAGCTTTGCTTAACTTCAGGGTCTCACACTTGAAGCCCCTCGACAGCCTCATGTTTTAAAATCAACGGAGAGCAGCTCTACAGAAGGGACCACAGAGCTCGGCATGTGCTACTTTTGCTCATGTTGGTAGGAAACGCTTTTTCCGAGGCTGCGGGCTTCTAATTAAAATAAATTCTTTCCACATCCTTAGAAATAGTACCCTCAATCTTCACACGCAACAGAGGTGCTTCCACGAAAGCGTAAGAGGTAGAGGGGGGCAGAAAGGACCAGAGAGCTCTCTATCAGCCTGGCCCAGGCAGCGTGGACGGAGGTTATGGCCAAGGTGACCCCAGCCCTGGGAATTGCAAATGGCCACCTTTATCTGCATACGGGTCCTCTTCCGCCTCTGGCCTGAGCTGGGCCAGCCCCTAGCTGGGTGCAGGCTTCACTGAGGCTCTACCCTCTCTGCACCTCCAACAGAGCCTCTAAGAAACCTTTCTCCATAAAATCTCTTCCTCCAAAACAGGAAACCAGATTTCTTAAACTGCCAGTTCCTCAAGCCTTGGCAGTGCTTATTTACACCATGAAATTAGCACCATCATTACATTTTTGTGTGTGTACAAAACAGCAATCTATTCTTATTTCAATTTACACTACAGCAACCTCTGGCCCTGCGGCACTGGCCCTCGGAAGCTCAGCTGAGAGCTAGCTGGCCATGGGCTGTAAAGGCTCCCGCAGCAGCTGCCAGCTCTAAGGGATCTGGAATGTCTACACAAGGAACCGCTTACACGGGACTCAGCAGGGAAGAAGCTGGAGGCAGCTTTTTTCCTGCCATGATCTCAGAGGCTAGGACACTGGGTCCCTCTGACCTCCTGACTGACAAACCCCAAGAGGGTGACAACATCCACAAGACAAGCCTTAGGAGAAAACCCGCTTTATGGGAGCTCAGGGTAAAGCCCACCCGAGCTCCATGTTCTCCTGATCATTCTCCACGGGGGAAGCTGCCAGGCCGAGACTTCCTGACATTCTGCTCCCACGAAGCGACGCTAGGACCGCAACCTGGGAGTCCAATCAGTGAGCTGACGGGGCTGAGCCTAGGCCGAGATGGCTAGGACGCCTTACGCCTTATGCCCTGACCGTAGTGCGGGGTGGAGGGGGTGAAGAGTAAAACAATAGTTTCCATCAATGCCGAAGATGCGGATTTGGTTCAGAAGACCAACACAGTGACTTAAGTCATATTCGACTCTGTTTTAGGGGAAAGCAGATGTTTAAAATGGCAGATGCTTTTGCAGCAGTGCTGTTTCACCACTGGACCAGGCTGGCTCCAGCAGAAGCAAAGGAGGCTTTGAACGCAAATTTCAACAGCTCCCGGTTTTTTCCTGACTTAACGAGGCTAGCAGAGGTACTGGGCTTCTAGCTACCCAGGGAGCATGCCAGCCTTTGGTTCCCCTGGAGAGGCGTCCTGGGGAGCCAGCTCAGGGGCAGACTTTCTTGAGATCTCCACTCGCAAGCACTGACCCAACACCCAGACACCATCCTGCCCAAGGACCAGAGGGTTCTAAGACAGATGTCCTTTTAACTGCAACATACACCCCTTTGGAAAATGGGTCCCAATACAGGCTTCAGCAGAAGCACCCCCGGGGCTGACAACGTCTTGCCCTTGACCTTCACTGACAGTCTCCCTTCCCACTGTTATCCAAGTCTGCTTCTGATTGGGTGGCGACTGCATTCATGATTTTGGCGAACCAATACCAGATGCTGCCATGGGGTCCAGCAGCTCAGATTTTTAGGTTCAGTAGCCCTGGGTGGAAGCCTGGCTGTCTGTCCTTTAAGATAAAGAACTGCCCCCCAAAACCAAATACGGCTCAGCAGCTGTTTCCCAGGCAGGTCTGAATCGAAGCCTCCAGTGAATGGCGGACAATGGAAAGAACCAAAACAAACCACGAAGCGGCCAGTCCCGGCTCCCTCTCCCTAGTTCCCTCCTGTTCTGCGAGACGAATCTAGGCCACTGTCAAATCAATTATCTACCAAAGCCTACTTGGAGAAGCTACTTCAGGATCAGACTTCTCCAATTAAAATTTTTTACAGAGCCTGCACGCCCCCCACCCCCAAATTCACAGTTTATTTCATGAAACAAAGAGCTACGGTAATTGAACACACAACATAGTCAAGGAAATTCCGACAGTGCAGTGCAGATATCTTTTTCTGGTCACGACTATGGATGACAGGAGAGAAAAGGGCACAGGACTGGCACCAGGCAAACCCTATTCATACGACCTAAGGGATCAGGGGATGGGACCTACTAGCTGCAGTTATATATTTATTATTCTCACACATGATAAATACTTAATATAACGAACTTTAACGTTCTGGTGAATTTCTTTAAAAATATCTTTTTCATGGTTTAAAATTCTTTTAAAAGAAAATAAGATGCTTTACGCCTTCTCTTCCTTTTGAACAAAGAGCGTTTCCTCTCTGGTGACGTGGGGAGAGGGGACTAGAGGGGAGAACTAGGCAGGGGGAATTCAGAGGCGATTCCGAGGTCTCGGTGAAACGCAGGGAGAGGCCCCTCAACTCGGGATAGCGCTGCCCAGCCTCGTCCCTCTGCCTGAGTTCAAGTGTCTCAACCTCAGAGACAGACTTTGGGAAATAAAAGCAGATTCTATTTTTAGTCTTTATATAAAGCGCAAATGCTTCTAAAACCACTACTGTTCCCTCCTTGGAAGTGATGGGAGTAACCTCAACAGGAACTTGCGAGGAGGAAATTGGGACCAAATCCAGAGTCCTGTTGAAGGTGTAAAGGCCACACCCAGGACAGACCGGCAGGAGACACGAGGGCCGGGGACGGCCTGTTGGCTAAAGCTGCTGGCTAGGTTGGCAAAGCGGAGAGGTAACACGGTGGTCTGCAGACAAAGGAGGAGGGGCGAGGAGGAGGGAACGAATCAAGCAGCACTTCCTGTTGGCAGTCTGTGAGCTGGGCGGGTGGCAGGGCAGGGTAGCACCGACAGATTTCCCAGCCCTCGGTCCCAGCTCAGGGCAGCAGTAACAGATAATCAGCAGTTATGAGGAGTCACCTCTCAGCCTGGACAGCGCACTAAACACCGTGTCTTGCCAGTCTTAGGGGAAGGCTTCTGGCTTGCCTCTGAGCCAGGTCAGCAGGCAGGTGCCCTTAGCAGAGAGCACAGCACTTCTCAGGGAGGCGAAGGGGACTCCCTCCCACAGTAAGGAGGGCCAAGGACTAGGGAAAAGTAACTTCCCATCCGCATCTGGTACTCTTCCCAAAACTGGTGTGGCCAGCTCAGAGCTTGCCAGAGATTCCCTATGTCCACTGCCCAAGACTGGATCTGAAAGCACCTGAGTGTCTGGGGAATGGGGATGGGGTTCATGTAAAAGGAGGAAAATAGGTAGAAAAGAAAGGTAAGCTTGCCAATCATCTTCTTCCGCTGCTGGAAAGCTCCGCTTTTGTGGAGCCCTGCTCCCCTTAACCACCTGCTCCTCCAAGGCAGATCTTCCGACACGGCACAGCCCGGACAGAAGCGGCAGCAGCCGCCGCAGCCGACAGCCTCGGGCAGCCTGGACGCAGCACCCTTTGGCTGCAGACCTGTGCGAGCAAGCAAGCGAGCGAGCGTGCGTGCGTGCATGCACATGCACCTGTGCACGCCCCGACTGGGGACACTTCAGCAACACCACCACTTCTGGTGTGACAAAGGACATTTCAGAATGAGCCGAAAGCCCCAGGGCCCCTCAGAACTTCCTGTTACTCCTGGTCAAAGGTTCTTGTAAACAACCTTGGAACCCAGGCAGGCAGGTCAGACTGTATTGATCTCTGTTATCTCCCATAGTGACTAGCACCCAGCCCAGAACACGTGAATGCTCAGAAGTCGCCACCAATTCGACGAACATCAGTTCCTCCCGAGGGTTCATCACACACCCTCGATGGGGCTCCGTGGACCGGGCAGATCGCTGGGAGAGCCCCTACACCTTCCAACCTGACCAGCGGAATTGAATTCCATGCTTGACTCCAGAGTGGACTTTTTATTTCACGTTGACCATGTGTAAAAGTTGGGAGAAAGAGACTCAAGTCTGTCTGTCTCCTTCGCTGGGGCCCACTGGGATTTCCACATATGGTTCACACAACCACAAGCCCCCACTGGCTAATGTCACAAGAGTTCTGAGTGTTGGGATGTAAGGAAAGAGTAACAGTGGGAAAGTGTTGGGGCAGGTCTGTTTTTAAGGGGGAAAAAGAAAGAAAAAAGATTTCCCCTCCCCAAATGGTACCCTGGGGTAGCTTGCTGTCCACGTGACATTTACTGGTGTTACTTCCGTTCTGACTCTGCACACTTGTGACTGGAAGGAGCCTGGTTAAGAGCTGGAAGTGTGTTTTGCTCTGGTTTGGGGTCTTGCCCTCTTCCAAGAGACCAGCAAGTCTGTGCCAATGTCTGCGTGCTCCCGGCTGACCAGCAAGACTGTGCCAGTGTCTGTCCAGCCATCACAGGCCAGAGCCCTGCCCGTGGTGAGGCTTTTCCCAGGGCCCAGGGCCTCTGCTCTGCGGCTGCCAACTTCTTCTCTTCAGTGGGGAGGGAGGCTGGGACCTTCCCAAGAGACCTAAACGACGGCCCACCCCTGGCAGCAAGTCCAGGGAGCTGTTGGCCCCCGACCATCTGCTTCACCTGCTTCGCCAGGCCTGGGGCTTGGCCCAGTGGCCCTGGGGCCTGCTCAGCCCCTGCAGGAGCCCTTCCCGAGGCCTGGGGTGCTGGCTCAAATGAGAAAGCCTTGGCAGGAGGCTGGGAAAGAAGTCTGGCCTGGGTGAGTGACTTCACAGCTTGCCAAGGGTGCTCTGAAGGGGCGACCGCCTTCCCGGGTGGCTGGAGAAGAAGGTCTGACGTGCTGCCTCTCTCAATAGCTCGCGGCATAGACCCCAGCCCTTTGCTGGCAGGCCAAGAGGTCGGCTCCAGCACCGGCATCTTCTCGTCAGCCTGTGATGTGGACTCGTGAGGAGAGGCTGCCCGTTCCTTCTGGCGAGGAGTGAGGTCGATGAGATCCATCACCAAAGCAGCTCTGTTTTTGGACTGAGTGTTCTGATCCACGGGCCTCAGTGCTTTTTCTTTAGCTACCAGGGTCTGGACCACAGCGGAGAGTACTTTTTCAGGAGGTGGGAGTCTCTGGGACAAAGAAGCATGGGATTTCTCTGGGGGCCTGTCAGGAGTCTGGGGTTTGGAACAGCTGGTAATGAGCAGTCTGTCTGTCGGCGGAAGTCTCAGGCCAGTGGGGACTGGGGATTTCTCCAGTGACTGGGGCCTTGGGCTGGCAGCACCTATGGATTTATCCAGCCTTGGGTCAGCTGTCCCCAGAGGTCTTTCCAGTGGTTGGGACCTGACTGACGGTGAGGAGCTTGGGTTGGTCACTGGAGAAGGTTTGTCAGATAGCTGGGGTCTTGGTCCTGCCACTGCAGGTGGCCTGTCCAGCGGCCTCTGGCTGGATACCAAGGATTGGGGTTTGGTCCCTGACCCAGCAAGGTCTCTGACCATTTCTAAAGGCTGGGGCCTGAAGTCAGTTCTCTCGAGAGGTCTTTCAGGTAGCAGTGGCCTCTGACAAGTCCCTGCCAGAGCTTGTTTGGAGAATGACAGCATCTGGTTGGTATCAGCAGGTGGCTTATCAGACATCCTGGGCCCCTGAGCAGCCAGGCCTGGTGACGGCTCTGCCAGGTGAGTGTTTTGCCCTGGAGGCCGTGGGACGGGGGGAGGCACGTACTCACGGATCTCCCCCGGTTCCAGAGGGTTGGGCCCACAGGGGTCATGCTCAGTGCAAGACAAGCGCCCATCCAGCTTAGAAATAAAAAGCATCCCTTCTCGATGTTGCTTGCAAAAGGAGCTGGGGCACATCTCACAGAAGGAGGCTGCTTCCTTCCCACAGATGTCACACTGATGCCAAGGACACTCCCATTTCCCTGCAAACAGGAATGAAACAAAATCTTAGGAAATAAGAGGTCAAGTGAGTTGGGCCACAGCTCTGGGGCCATCTGCAGGCATGAATGCAGACCTTCCTTCACACTGCCCTCCTTCATAGATCTCATGCCACTCACCTGTCACCTCCTGCCCCAGAATGCCAGCTTCCTCCTATGCACAGAATGCATAAAATAACAGCAAAATATCAAGCAGCAGCTAGTATCAACTAAATATACAAGCAAGAGTAAATCCTGACTTCTTTTTTTTTGAGGTGCAGTCTTACTCTGTCGCCTGGGCTTGAGTGCAGTGACATGCTCATGGCCACCACAGCCTCCACTGGCTGGACTCAGGTGCTCTTTCTGCTTCAGTCTTCCAAGTAGCTGGACCCACAGGCACGTGCCACCATGCCCGGCTAATTTTTTTATTTACTGTAGACAAAAACTCTCTGTCAAGCTGCCTAGGGTGGTCTCAAACCCGTGAACTCAGGCAATTCTCTTGTCTCCACCTCACAAAGTGTTGGGATTACAGGCGTGAGCCACCATGCCTAGCTAAATCCTAACTTCTATGACTATTTCCAGTAAGGGAAAATAAAACCACCCAAAGATCTTCTTAGAGGAAATGTTCAGATACTACTTTCATAGTTTGACAAACTCCATTTGTCCTGTGCAGCTTTGAAGTATTCAACCTGCAGCTATTTAGATTCCTGCTTATTTAGTTATTGATAGGAATAAAAAAGAGAGACACAATTGCAAAAAATGGAGATTTACCTTTGCTCAACTGTATAGCCTGAAACCAGCCCAAATCATTACTGGGCTATCCACACAGCATCAGTGGAAAAGACCCAAAGCCAACCACAGTCCCTATATTGTGAAACTCAAGTTTGACCACGGACAGGATCTCCACCCCCAATGTACTACGCTAGCTCTCACTCCCAGCAGCCTGCAAGATCAGTTCCATTGCAGTGTGCGCCAGCGACGGCCCTGAGCAGTTGATTCTGAAAAACTTCCACTTCCTGGCATGAAGAAGTCCATGTAATGGGCTTGCCCTCATCCTACCTCAGTTTCTTTGATTTCGTTACTCTGGCCAACACACACTGAAGGAAAGCCAATTTAAGGAGAAACTCCTTTACCTCCTACCCCAAAGTTCTTCACCTTCTGCAAATGTTGGAAGCAGGCCACTAGCAATGTAAGGTGCACTGTATAATCTCCTCACTCTGACTATAAAACAGATGGCATATCCAGGTCCCTAAAAATCCTCTAACCCCAAATCACCTCACAAAGGTTATGAGCCTCTTCAGTCACACATCTCCTAGGCACCATTCACCCGAGCAGCCTTCTCATGTGTTAAGCTCCTTTGGAAAAGAAGTCTCCTCTGCGAGGAAGAAGAACCCACTAGGCTGAGGGAGTGGTTTCAAGGGGGACAAGCCATCTCACTGGCTGGGATGACCCAAAGGTGCTATGGTCTCAATCTTTCTTTTGTTTTTTTCAAGTCGGATTCTCACTCTGTCGCCCAGGCTGGAGTACACTGGTATGCTCACGGCCACCGCAGCCTTGACCTGCTGGTCTCAGGCAATCCTTCCACCTCAGCCTTCCAAGTAGCTGGAACTACAGACGTGCGCCACCACGCCCAGCTAATTTTTTTTTTTTTTTTTTGATTTATTGTAGAGACGAGGTCTTGCCATGTTGCCCAGGCTAATCTCAAACCCGTGGCTCAGGCAATCCTCTCATCTCCGCTGGGATTACAGGCATGAGCCACAGTGCCCGGTCCTCAATCTTTCTCTGGATAAGCAACATGATTTCGTGGCCCTGGAGTCAGAAAACCTGTCTGTCAGTCCAGCTCTTCCATGGTCTTGTGAAAAGCCATCTCACCAATCCTGACTCCCCGCTTCCTCATGCACGTTACAGGAGAAAAGGGACCTACATGGGTTGCTGGGAGGAAGAAATGATGTTAATGTAAGTACTTGACCCACAGCAGGTGCATTTCTGTCCCTTTCTGTACAGCCAAGGATTCTAAGCCCCTGCTGTCATTCACTTCCAGAATAAGAACACAGACCACACCCCTCAACACCATGTGTGGGAAGACCAACGGCACTTTCTCCCAGATGGCGTAAGACTAGGCAGAGAACAAGAGGAAATGGATTCTGGCACTAACCTGCGGGTCGCTTGGTGAGATTGAGACAGTCCGCGTGGTAAACTTTTGGGCAGCCTGGCTTCTTGCAGGAGACGAGCTGGCCAGCGTCCCCGCAGCTGAAACACTCATCCTCTCGCTCCTTTGTGATTTCACCCTGGGTCCTGCGCTTCCCCTGTTGCTTCTTCTTGAATTTCTTTGACTTTTCTTCTGTGGCAATGGGCTGATTCTGAAGGTCAGATAGGGAGCAATCAGTGTTCTGTCACACATGAGCACTACCCTTGATCGGGCCAAGTATCCTGAGACTCAGTGTCTTCTCTGGAAAAGACAGTCCCCATCGGCTGTCATGAACATAAGAGAAAACACATCTGACAAGACACCTGGCAATCACAGATAGCCAATATATGGTAGCATTAATCAGCATTTTGTACTAATTACTCCTGCCACCGCAATGAAACAGAAAAGGCCTTATGTGCCTTTCTTTTCTTTTTTTTTTTTTTTGAGTTGGAGTCTCACTCTGTCACCCAGACTGGAGTGCAGTGGCCGCTCCCGGCCACTGCAGCCTCGACCTGCTGGGCTCTGGCAGGTCAGCCTTCCTAGTAGCCGGAATTACAGGTGTGCGGTACCACGCCCAGTTGATTTTTTTTGTTTGATTTATTGTAGAGATGAGGTCTCGCTGCCCAGGCGGGTCTCGAACCCGTGGGCTCAGGCAATCCACTCACCTCAGCCTCCCAAAGGCGCGGGATTATAGGCTGAGCCACCGAGCCCGGCTGTGCCTTTCTTAACAGATAAGACTCATGTTAAATGGCACCATTTTCAGGTTTTATTTTTATGTTTGTCTAATTTAAAGGTTAAAGATTTCATTGGAAGTGTGTGTACACCTGCACACTTCTTGTTTATTCAGCAGACCTTTGCCGAACACTTGCTACGAGTCATATGTTATGAAGACACAAAAAAAATCATTCACCGTCCTTGCCCTCAACAAGGCTATGTGCATCTTTAAGTCATCTTAGGTTAATGACCAACATCCCATGACAGGTCCTGGTTCAGCCTGCAGGTCTCCTCTCTGTGCTCCCTGCAGCCCACATTAGGTCACCTGACCCTTTGGATTTAATCATGTCCACTTCAGCCTAAAAACACCCAGGACTAATCCATAAGGCTTAGTGAAGGTCCCTCCTATTCTGACATGCCAATATTTATTAACAGACTACAGTGATTTTTTTTTTAAGATTAGAAAATATAATTTATTTAAAAGTAAATAAGAGAGAGAGAGAGAGAGAGAGAGAGAAATTCACCTCCTAAGGTGAGGGAGGGTGCCAAAGGCAGGGAGCATGGCGACAGCTATAGCTCAAAGAGCACATGGCCACACAAGAGTCTAGCAAAGCAACAGCCTACAGTGATTTCTAAACTTCTGCTCTGGCATTTCTCTTGCTGATTCACATGTGAAATGCTGCCCTACACAGAGCTCAAAGATGTAGGAACTGACATACCCAAGGTACCTAACAGTGCTAACTATGGGCTTTCAATTTATAGTAAACAAGTGAACAGGTATCTTAAGGTATTAGTAACTACACCAACTAACTAAGCAAAAGCAAAACAAACCTCAATGTAACATGATTTTCCTTTTTTAATGAGATAAAAGAATAGTTAATGAGTATTCTTCATTTTCATGTTATTGCTCAAAATGATTTACTTTTAAAAATTGGTTTCTATGCTAATTTACATTTTCAGTTGAATTCGTAATCAAAATGCATAATGGGAAATACCCAACAGAAATCACTGTGTGACTACTCTGCATCAAAATTAAACTTCCATTTTCACTGTGCTGTTACCTATGACAGAAACCTTGAAGCATCCAGATGTTTACCTATCATCATGTCCATCCATATAAAATCAATCAAAATGATTAAGACTATATAACTGCAAGAAAACTTTTAAATAATATTTAAGTAGCAAAAAGACTTGTAAATAATTCTTAACAGTTACAGAACTGTAATTCAATTAAAGTGCACATAAAAAAACGAGACACAGCAATGTTTACTCTTCGTTACAATGGTGAGAATAAAGAGCCTTACTTCCCCTATGGTGCTACACTAAGAATCTTAACTTAAACCGCAGATTCTTCAGCATCTTCAGAAAGAAATGGCGAGGGAGACACAGAGATACCAAGAATCTCAATAGCTTCTCAGGAGACATGAAATCAGGTGACACCAATGAGGTGGGAAAGCAACCTTTTTTAAAAGCATCACTAATCAAAGTCAGGTTGCTCAAAAACACTTTGACAATACCCAAAGATCCTCTCTTTGGCAAATGTATTATCAGAATGCTTAGAAAATTAAGCCAGTAGTCCAACAGACACCTATTCAATGTTGTTATTTCAAAGAACTCTTTTCTTAAAATGAAGACTTAGTCCTAACACTGCTAGGAAGGGAGGACCATACCACTATTCCCAATGAAAACGTCTGGAAGGGTGGTACCTTTGGCCTTACACCCAAGAAGCCGCTGCAGTTTGAGGCTCCACATTTGCAAACAGTCTTTCCATTCCCAAGGCATTCTAAGTTGTAGTTGAAGGTAAGTTCAGTGCCTGCATGAGAACGTGAAATATTAACAAATATGGCTTAATAACATTACTTCTGTATTACACAAGATTCCAACTCCCAAGAGAACAGATTAATTTATTTTTTTGAGTCTCGATCTATCACCAAGGCACACAAGAAAACAAGATCTCTGCTTGAGAACGAAGATACAGTGAAAATAGACCTGCACAGACTTTATATTTTATATATATACTTTTGAGTCACAGTCTCAATCCGTCGCCCAGGCTAGAGGGCAGTGGCACACCCACGGCCACCCCAGCACCAACCAATTGAGCCACAGAGCCCAGCCAATTAATTTTTAAAAAGAGAATTTTTAGCCTTGCATGGTGGCTCACGCCTGTAATACCAGCACTTTGGGAAGTGGAGATAAGAGGACTGTCTGAGCCCATGGGTTCGAGAGCAGCCTGGGCAACTTGGTGGGAGCTCGTCTCTACAATAAATAAAAAAATTAGCCAGGTGTGGTGCTGTGCGCCTACAGTTCCAGCTACTTGGAAGTCTGAAGTGGAAGGGTCGCCTGAGCCCAACAGGCTGAGGTTGCGGTGGCCTTGAGTGTGCCATTGCACTCCATCTAGCCTGGGTGACAGAGTGAGACTCTGACTTGAACAATAATAATAACTTTTTAAAAAAGGATGTGTGAACTTAATACATCCTAGTCCTATAATGTTATTCATCAGTTGATACACTAAACAGAAAAAGTTAAATTGCTTAACAAGTAATATTTAAGATAAACTCTGAGGTATCATTTACCTCAGGTTGTTTTTCCTTTGTTTTCTACTAATTCAGATACAAAATATATTAACTCCTTAGCACAAACAAACAAAAAGCAATTCATTATATATCAATGTGCCAGGAACTGGGAGCACAAGAATGAAGCAAACCTGTTGGTTTCCACCCAGGTGGGCACACAGTATCTGGCAGCCCTCGGATGAGAGGCAGCCCAGGACAGAGGGACAATACAAAGTTCTACATCACAGACTGGCTGCACAGCTCAGGTATGCCACAGTTCAGATGGGTGATGTGAACCCCAAACAGTCCATTTGTAAAACAGAGAAGTAACCGGCACAGAAGCTTAACGAGAGACTGACACAATGCCCACAGCAATAATTTGTAAACTTTAAAGAGGTGAATAGCCTACGATGCAAACTGTTCCCTTTCTGTCAAAAATCTGTTTCATCAAAATTAGGAGAGCAAATAAAACACAGAAACATTCAAACTCAAAGCTCATAAGTCAAAGCCCCTTAGGGAAGGCCTAACATACAAGAATTTTATGTAAGCACATAAGGAGGTTGCTTCTGGGTTGGGATAATGGCTTATAGCTAATTTATAAAGTGCCAACCATTCATATATAAAATTGTCAAGTTTTGGAAGACCTCTTATTACAGACTGACATGCCTATTTTTTTTTTCTTGAGTAGGGGGTCCAAGCTGGAGTGCACTGGCATGCTCACGGCTACCACAGCCTTGACCTGCTGGGCTCAGACGACTCGTTTCAATCTTTCAAACAGATGGGACTTCAGGGACACACCCCCATGCCTGGCTACTTTTTTTGATTTATTGCACATTGCTCAGGCTGGTCTCAAACCCCTGAACTCAGGCAATCCTCTCGCCTTGGCCTCCCAAAATGCTGGGATGACAGGCGTGAGCCACTGTGCCCAGCTGACATACCTTTCATCAGTGAGACTACTATACATGGCTTTTCATCTAATGCTGGAAACAGATCATTATTTCTTTATTCATTTGAGCAACACACAAAGCAGCTGGCTTATGACGAGGGCGCATGTTGCAGGGTTAGCAGAATCATTCTTCCCTCGGCAAAAAGCTTGCAGAGGCCGAGCGAAGAGTGGGGCTGTATCTCCCACTAACGCCTCCTCGAACTGACTCGACTGAAGGCTGGGTGATTCTACACACACTGGTTTTTTTCTGCAGAAAAATTTCTAAACACACAACCAGATTTTTGTGGGCTTTATGTACATATAAGGCAACTCCACCACATCCACAAATCTAAGGCAGCAAGATACCTGGCGTAAGGTGGTGCTTCCTGAACACATCCTGTTAGCATAATCACATAATGAGCTAAAACAACTCAGACGGTATCAGTACTCATAAAGGAACACTGGGTATCATTTCAGAAAAGAGCCGAATGTGCAACAATCCCAGATAATCCCCAGTTACTGGGGATAGGAAAATGAGTGAGATAAACAAGAAGTGAGATGGCACACATGGGAGACAATAAGTGACAGATATGTGAAAAGGCTAAGAAGCTGGGTGACAATCTGCCTCTAGCTGCCCAGGCCTCTGTTCAGTCTGGCACTCAGCATACTCCATCTCATTTTCGATGCCAACCATGCAAACTGGAAGAAAAGAGAGGACAGGAACAAGGTCTGAATTTCAACACCAAGCTACCAAAGCTGAGTGAACACAGGAGAAAATAAATTTGTGGCTACACATGGTAGAGGTAGCCATTCCCATGGATGGGGACCAAAGGATCTGAGTAAGAAAGCAGGGCACTGGCAGTGGTCAGGAGATAAACTTAGTCATGTGACTGAGTAATCAATATAGAGAAAGCCCTGCAACCCTGGGCCACATAGAGATAAAAAAGGATGGAAAGAACAAGCGGTGTCAGATTGAAGAACCCAAGAAACATAGGTGTACAGGACCTACCTTATTACAATTTTGCAAGGATTAAATGAGACAATATGCTTAGAAAAATGTCTGTATCTGACAACATTTACTAAATTATTCCTATTACAAAGCAGAAGTCAAAACAATTTATTCTGAAGTCATTCAGTTAAAAAATGTGAAACAAATCAGCATTTAAAAAATCAGTCTCGGCTGGGCACGGTGGCTCACGACTATAATCCCAACAGTTTCGGAGGCTGAGGTGATAGGACTGCTTGAATTCACAGGTTCAGGACTGGCCTGGGTGACTTGGCGAGACCTCATCTTTACAATATATCAAAACATTAGCTAGGCATTGTGGCATCTGCCTGTAGTTCCAGTTACTTGGAAGACTGAGGTATAAGGATTGCCTGAACCCAGGAGGTTGAGGCTGCGGTGGCCGTGAGAGACAGGGTGAGACTCCAACTCAAAAAAAGAAAAAAAAAAAATCAATCTTGTGGTCAAGGGGAGGGTAGTGGATAGTGATGATTTAATACTTCAGGCGAATCAAATGAAAAACAAGAGAAAAGAATGAGTGGCTCAAGTTTTAAAATCTGAACTCGCAGAATTTTTAAAACTCTAAAAAAGTCTGTAAGACTTTTGGAGAAGGCCGGGCTTGGTGGCTGACCCTGTCATCCCAGCACTTTGGGAGGCTGACGCAGGTAGATTGCCTGGGCCCGCAGGTTCAAGACCAGCCAAGGAAACTTGGTGAGACCTCGTCTCTACAATAAATCAAAAATTAACTGGGCGTGGTAGTGTGCACCTGTAGTTCCAGCGACTTAGAAGGCTGAGGTGGAAGGATCTCTGGAGCCCAGCAGGTCAATGCTGAGGTGGCCATGAGTGTGCCACTGCACTCCAGCCTGGGTGACAGAGTGAGACTTCAACTCAAACAAACAAACAAGACTCGTGGAAAGCATATATTTTAGAGACAGGGTCTTACTCTGTCACCCAGGCTGGAGTGTAATGGTGTTATCATAGCTTACTGCAGCCCAGAACTTACAAGCTAAAGAAATCTTCTGCCTCAACCTCTTGAGAAGGTGGGACTAAAGGTGCACACCACGGTGTTAAGTTGTTTCTTTCTTTTTAAAAAAAATAGGCTGGGCACAGTGGCTCATGTTTGTAATCCCAGCACTTTGGGAAGCCAAGGCAGGAAGATCACTTAACACCAGGAGTTCGAGACCAGCCTAGGCAACACAGTAAGACCTGGTGGCAATAAAAAAGCAAACCAATTAGTGGGGCGTTCACATAAAACCTAATGGTCTGGGAAGATATTCTGCTTGGAGAAATGAGCCAGTCACACAAGGCCACATATTATATGATCATTTACATGAGGTGTGTATGGAAGTCTAATTCAGAGACAGAAAGTAGAATGATGGCGTCCAGGGGCTGTGGGGAAGGGGGAAAATGGAGTTAGTGTTTAACGGGTATAGTTTCAGCAGGGGAGGTGCAAAGTATTCTGGAGATGGATGGTGGTGACGGCTGCACAACAATGTAAATGAACTTAATGATAGAGAACTATAAACACAAAAATGGCTAAAATTGGCCAGGCGTGATAGCTCATGCCTGTAATCTCAGCACTTTGGGAGTCTGAGGTGGGAGGACTGCTTGAGCCCATGAGTTTAAACCAAACTAGGCAACACAGCGAGACCGTGTCTCTAGAACAAAATTTAAAAATCAGTCAGTAGTGGTGGCATGTGCCTGTAGTCCTAACAACTCGGGAGGCTGAGGTGGAAGGATTGCCTGAGCCTGAGAGGTCGAGGCTGCAGTGAGCTGTGCTTGCACTACCGCACTCCAGACTGGGTGACAGAGAAAGAACTCAACTCAAAAACAAACAAACAAACAAAAAGGTTAAAGTCATACATTTTTATGCCACACCTACTTTATTATCCCCGTTCCAAAATCCATGCCGAAAGACCACCTGGAAGGTCTTCATGTATCCTCGGGAATTTGAAGTGTTCATTTTGAAGTACAGGATACTTGGGATTTTTAGGTGATAAAGCCTGAAATTCAGGTCTTAGCTCCAGAATCCCGAAATGAGTCTCACCTGCTTTGATGTCACTCAGGGCAAAAAGGCCAACGCGGGTGTCTCCATTCACCGACCACTTCTGGGTCTCACAGTTGGGCTGGCAGCAATGGTTCATGAATCGAGCATAGTTTCCTTTGGGGCCAGCATCAATGATCCGGTCCTAGAATTCCAAGAGAAGCTGCTCATCAGACATCCTGAGACCTCTTGCTATTGATTAAAATCAGACTTTTCTCTCTACTAAGCTGGAGTTCCTCTTTGTAAAGTTCAATCCCCCAGAGCAGTGGATCTCAAAGTGTAATCCCTGGGCCAGCAGCTCCATCACCACCTGGCAAGTTGTCAAAAATAAAAACTCCTGGGCTGTGCTTCAGATACAACAAAACAGAGACTCGGTACAGTGCCGCAATCTGTGTTATGACGAGACTGCCAGGTGATGCTGATGTAAGCTGCCCACTGCTTTGGAGGCAGCAGCATGTGCCATCCTCTCATGAGGTAGTTTCCAATCCAAATGCACATTAGAAATCACCCAAGGAGGTTTAAATACTGATGCAGGGTCTCCATCCCAGACCAAGGACAGAATATCTGAAGGTGAGGATCTCACAGATTATAAACGCACAACTTGACAAATGTTTCCAAAGGTACATACTGGGAAAGGGTTCTGGGGTTGTCATAAAAGCTAGAGGATGAAAAAAATGTGAGTGGAACCTAATATTCAAGTGCAGATACACAGAAAATAACACACTGGGACACTCAAACTAGGAATAAGTTCCAAGTACAACTCCAGGCGTTATTGAAATGAAACACATGAGAAAATTCCTAAAATTGGAAAGGTGACTTAAGTTCTTATACTGAGTTCTACAATCAATTTACATGACTGTCTCAATGCAATAATTAAATACCAACAAATCAGCTTCTCAATTTATAAAATCGAAGGTTACAAGAATGATTATTTACTTTTCAGGCTTCAACATTTTAATCTTCTAGGAAGAAAATGCTAAAAACAGTGTTATTGCTTTTGGACATGGCTACAGCCAAAATGAGGAATATTACCTACCTTAGAACTCTGAACAAGCAATGCCCATGGACTGAAAAAGTCCTTGCTTTGGGCAAAGCAGGAGATGCCAACAAATACTATGGTTGTGACAGCATAAATCCCACAATCTCTCGACAATGGAAACAGCATTTGTTCTCCATTACTTACTTTATCTAGGGTGAGCATATAGAAATTGGTGATATCGTGTTCCTGGGCATGACGGATCCGAGCTCTGCATTCTTCTTCATCTATGAGCTCACCCACATACTCATTCACAAATTCACCCTAGAACAAGAAACAGCTACTGGCTGAATGGCAAAAAGCACACTGGCATTCAAATGTATACCTTATTTTGTTTTTGAGTTGGAGTCTCACTCTGTCGCCCAGATTGGAGTTCAGTGGCCGCTCCCGGCCACTGTAGCCTCGACCTGCTGGGGTCCAGCAAACCTTCCGCCTCAGCCTTCCAAGTAGCTGGAACTACAGGTGCGCGCTACCACGCCGGGCTAGTTTTTGGTGTATTGTAGAGACGAGGTCTCGCCATGTTCCCAGGTGGGTCTCGAACCCGCGGGCTCAGGCAATCCACTCACCACAGCCTCCCAAAGCGAAAGCATGTGATTTTATCTGCATACGATCATTCTATGATGCCACAACCAATTGATAATGTTAGCCACCTTGCCACTCCCAGCTCATCCCAGAAAGATTAGGGTACACTGGACACAACAGACCCTCCAGAAAGGAAGGCTAGTAAGTAACCCAAAAGCTTCCTTATAATAGGGATATAGAGACCAGTCTCCCTAAACTATGCTCATCTTTCTGAGAGCTTGCCCTGTTCTGCCACTCTGCAAGTCCCACCACTAACTTCCCCATCTGCGGTGCTACTAGCAATCACACTAGCTGCCACACATGTTGACCCCTTCTCCAATGATTTAATGCTTACTCTTCCTGATCCAACTGCTACTCATCTTCCGAGTACCAACGTAAAATATCCTTAGAGCCAAGCTAGTTTCAGGTCCTCGGCCACATGGCTCCAGAGCCCTGTCTACTTCCACATTGGGTGATGCCCACATGGGCATCCACCTGTTGAATGTCCTTCCCACTTAAGGTGTAGATTTCTTGGGTGTGGTGACTCACACCTGCAATCCCATCACTGTGGGAGGTAGAGGTAAGAGGATTGCTTGAGCCCAAGATTTGAGACCAGCTTGGGCAACTTGGTGAGACTTCATCTCTATAATAAATCAAAAAATTAGCCAGGCATGGTGGTAAGTGCCTATAGTTCCAGCTACTTGGAAGGCTGAGGCAGAAGGATTGCCTGAGTCCAGCAGTTCAAGGCTGTAGTAGCTATGTGCGTGTCACTGCACTCTAGCCTGGATGACAGAGGCAAACTCCCACTTAAACAAAGGATGTAAACTTGACGAAAGCATGGATTATGTCTCTTTTATTTATTATTGCATCCCTCATGAAATGCCTGGCACACAGGCAGATATATAACAACGTGGCAAACAACTAAACAGACCAACCCATTTGTACTACCTTTCCTAGAAAAAAATTTCAGTAATATTCTTCAGGAAGTAAAACCAGAGAAAGGCTTATTTTTATTAAAATGCCAAATAAGATTTACTTTACATAAAGAGAGTAAAATATTATTTATGAGAAACAGCTTACAGAGCCTGCCAAGTTTCAAATAGAAGATGTTACTGTATTTTTGTTCAGTAAGGCCTAACCCTCTTCTCCTTCGTGTTTCATGAACTCAGACCCGATTTTGCCCCGGTAAAAAAAACTTTTATTTATAGGTAATCACCACCTCTGTATGATGTGCTCACTGTCCTCACACTCTCTTAATTACTGGTTCTAGGATTTTCACGAAAAAGCAAATAAAGTCACAGCATCTCTGTGGAGTTCCCTCTTTGACCTCCATCCTCCCACACAGTGAACACAACCAGAAAGGACATCAGACCTCAAGGAGACCATCCATTCTCAAGCCTCTAACAGTAGAAGGACACCTGGCACAGTGGCTCATGCCTGCAATCCCAGTACTTTTGGAGACAGGGCTGGAGGAATGCTTGGAAACTCAGGAATTTGAGTCTAGCGTAACCAAAAGCAAGACCCCATTTCTACAAAAACTATAAAAATTAATCCCAGTGTGGTGGCGCATGCCTGCAGTCCCAGTTACATAGGAGGCTGAGGTGGAAGGACTGCCCTGAGCCCAGGAGACTGAGGCTGCAGTGAGCCTTGACAGTGATACACTGTACTCCAGCTTGGTGAACAGAGGAAGACGTTGTCTCAGACAAGACAAAACAACTTGTGAAAGGATCCTGCAAGACACAATACTAAGCTTAATCCCCAACTATGTTATTTTTCTATATGATAACTTTTCTCACATTCACTAAGAAAAATTAATTGTATCAAACAACTGAAAAAGGAAATCTGGTCACTCAGTTTTCCTCACCTTTTTAATATCTGTTTTCGTCCGCAGGCCCCAGCCCCTCTGTAACGTGCGGAAGATCTCCACCTCTGGGTACTGGCGCTTAGAGAAGCACTGGTTCTGGCAGCGCCCGCCAGCAGGACACACCGTGGGGTGGCACTCATAGAGCAGCATGCGGTTGATGCACTCAGAGTCTATCCCACAGGGGTTCTCATCCGTGGCTTTGCAGTTGCAGCGTGGAATTTCGGACAAGTCTGCAGTGAATATCTGTACCCTGCCAATAGGACGGTTCACCTAGAGAAGAAGCACACAGTTTCCGGCATCAGGCAAGTCAGAAAAAGACAATCCAGGCCCTGGAAAGGGCAGATTGTTTTCCCTTGAAGTTACCTGCCACATTGAACATCATTTCAAAGCTTTGAAGACAGTGAATTATAAGCGAGGCTTCCACTACTGCCACACAGTGGCGCCAAATTAGCAGCTACATAAAAATATGTGCTATTTTTAGGTGAGAAACTGTTGGCATGGACGAATCTGTGGGTAATTTGGGCTCCTCCATGTGAAGATGTGTCTTAATGCTACCATGATTTAAAAACATGTTTTTTTCTTTTTTTAACAGGCAGGGTCTCAAATTCCTGAACATAAGCAATCCTCCACACCTCAGTCTACTGAGCAGCTGAGACTGCCCAGCTTATGATGTAAAATCTTTAAAAGGACCATGGGAATGCCACTCGTGGATTGATTTAGTATAATGCTTGTGCTGATAAATACAGTGAAATGTGGTGAGATAAAAGATGCTGATCAAACAGCTGCTGTGATACCAAAGCCACTAATACGGAGTTTTTAAATGCTAGCAACAATACTAAGGAAAAAAATAGATTTCAACAGAGATGGAATTGAGCCTGAGAATGAGTCTCCTCTCCCTTGATATTAGTTCAGTAGAAGCTGCCAAATCAAGTTTTCTAAGACACAAACCATGTATCAAATTTGACTACTCAGGAATGAGCCAGTTGTGGTGATGTGTGCCTACAGTCCCAGCTCCTCAGAAGGCTGGGCAGGAGGGATGGCCTTAACCCAGGAGGTCCAGGCTGCAGTGATCCAGGATTGTGGCACTACACTCCAGCCTGGGCAACAGAATGAGACTCCGATTCAAAAAAAGTAAAAGCCACCCTTAGTTCAGAAACATTACGTAAATAGGCAATAGACCAAATTGGCCGATGGACCGTAGTTTGCCAAGCCTTCAAGTGCAAGAATACAGCTGGCCTCTACATTATATGATGAAATCACTCACAGGAAATTGTTCTTTCAATAGCTCAAAATTGTGCTGCCCTAAAATACCTGCCTTGCTATTATCTGACACCTAGGAGAATGTGAATAAGATTCCTTTCCTTTTCTGAAGCTTGACTATACTCTGGTGTTATATCCTCACACACAGTAACTCCATTTATACTTAACATATTGACCAAACGACTGCATCACCTTTCAAGAAAGTACAAAAGACTGTCTATTACACCTAAGGAAAGGAGGAAGACAGAAGTATAAGAGACTGGAGACACCATCTTGGTGGTCTGCCTTTGGTAGGGTTACTAGATTTAGCAAATAAAAATCCAAGACACCAAGTTAAATTTTAATTTCAGATAAACAACAAACAATTTTTTAGTTTATGTATATCCAACGCAGTAATTGGGACACAAACATACTAGATTCTCAAGATTGACGTGAAATAGATCATCAAGTAAAATTCACCATCACACTTCAGAAACTAAAAAAAAAACAATCGAGGAAAGAAAAAAAAACTGAAAAGCAAACAAGCATTTCTAAGAACAAAAACGAAATAGAATACTCTCATGCAGTAATGACATCACAAATATTTTGCAGCAGGAACCTGGGCAACCTTGTTTTGCTAACAGGACTTCTGATATTCTTTCAAGTTTATAACATTTGAGCATCACAACTAACTTATCTGATAAAAAGAAGTTTGTAAAAAAAAGTTTTAATCAATACTAAAATTCCTAATAAATTCTTCACTGTTCCTTTATTTTGACATTTGTAAATTATTCATATAAATGATGTAAAAAAATAAGAAAATACACAGATTCCACTAGATCCAGATGATAAATGGTGGCAACTATTTTACCAGGTAGACTGAGGTTTAGGTACACCAAAATATTAATTATCCTGGCTGGGTGCGATGGCTCATGCCTACAAGGCCAGCATTTTCAGAGGCAGAGGCAGGAGGATCACTTGAGCCCAGGAGTTCAAGACCAGTCTGGGCAACATAGTGAGACTGTCTCTACCAAAAAAAAATTAATTCTTCTGACCTTGAGAATTCCAGTCATACTGGTCACCTCAAATATCTTCATTCATAACAAGATGCACCATGTGTATTATTCACACTATCTCAGGGCCATTTACCATTTCTCATCATAGTTGTTTGGTCCCTTTTAAATTGCAAGATGCTGACTTTCCAAGTCTGTAGAAAAAAGCCTGCATGGACGCACAGTTCACTTTCTAAAGTGCATGCAGTGTGCTAAGAATGGTCCTCTGGTGCTTTGTCCTTATTTCTGTTAAGCTCACACCTTTGCCTGAAAGCAACTGTGCTTCCCATCTCCTCATGAACGGGGTGGGAGGAGAGTCAGCTATTCAGTGTCTCCTAAGATAGGCTCCCAGGACTTTTTTTCTCACCTTTATATGCTTGTAAGGTGGTGGCTTCTTGTCATTCTTTCGGTCTTCTTGTAGCTGTCTTAGCTCTTTTTGGGCCTTCAATTCCTCAAATCTCGCTGCAGCTTCCTGAAGAGCTAATAAAACAGCACAAGTCACTTGAAGATCTCGAGGTAGAGTTATTTTACCATTTTCCCATTTAATTTGGAGAACATCCATGTTTTAAGCAAAATCCACCAACATTATATGAAAAAGAATACAAATGACAAATGCGTTATGGAGTCCCAAGGGTATTCAGACACAGTGTTAAGATAGAACACAAACCAAAACTAAATCACACAACAAAGACTACAACCTTAGAAGAAATAAAAACAAAAATTGCTATGTGGCTTGAAAAAGCCCATGGATACCATGTCCTGGCAACTAAACTTCATCTGTCACTGCCTTTAAGCCTCCATCTTTCTACAGTCCTGAATTTCTCCTTCCAGAAGCACTCCACTCCTTAGTGCTCTGGGGATTGTGTGCCCTCGCCTCTGGGAGAAATGCAGAGCTGAGCTTGTGGTTTTCTTCCTGTCTCTTCTCCAGAAGACCTGTCCTCCCTACTCTCATATGAACTGTTCTGTAAACATCAACCAGGAGCCCTCATGAAACACAGACCTCATCTATGTTCAAGTCCTGTGCTTTCACACGTGTAAGAGACTGCAATATCTGAACAGTATCACAAAACAACACAAAACAAAAAACGATTCTCATTCTGGCCTATAATCCCAGCAGATTGGGAAGTAGAGGTGAGAGAATTTGTCTGAGCCCACGGGATCGAGATCAGCCTGGGCAACTTGGCGAGACCTCATTTCTATAATCAATCAAGAAAAATTAGCCGGGTGAGTTGGCCCATGCCTGTACTTCCAGCCACGTGGAAGGCGGAGGCGAAAGGATCGCCTAAGCCCAGCAGGTCAAGGCTGTGGTGGCCGTGAACGTGCCACACTGCGCTCCAGCCTGGGCAACAACCAAAATGGAACTGATATTCCCAGTTGCAGCCTCATCTTTTTTTTTTTTTTGAGCCAGAGTCTCACTCTGTCACCTGGGTTGGAGTGCAGTGGCATGCTCACGGCCACTGCAGCTCGTCCTGCTGGGCTCAGGCAATCCTTCCACCTCAGCTTTCCAAGTATCTGGAAACACGGGTGTGCACCACCACCCCCAGCTAATTTTTTGATTTATTGTAAAAACGAGGTTTTCACCAAGTTGCCCAGGCTGTTACCCAGGCTGGTCTCGAACCCCTGAGCTCAGGCAATCTTCTCACCTCGGCCTCCCCAAGTGCTGGGATTACAGGGTTGAGCCACCGCATCCAGCCCGCCTCACCTTTTGATGGTCCCAACACTCGAACCCAGGCTGAGTTTCTAAAACTCTACTCTGATTAGGTAAATTACCTATCTTTTCAGGCAAATAGCCCAATGTTCTTGCAGCCCTGTGCCAAGTGGCAAACACTTAATAAGTCACAAGCTCAGCACGCTAGATTCAACACATGCGTCACATGTGCGGGGTTCCTGATACAACATCTTCAGTGCTTTTCCTTCTTCACAGGCAGCGTGGGGTCATGCACTGAATTCTGGTGCCCAACTATTAGAGTCGAAATCTTCCTCTATCACTGGGTAAGTAAGATCTTGGGCAAGCAGTGTAACTTTAATGTGCCTCAGTTTCCTCGACTGCAAGATCACAATGGCATCCACCTCGCAGGGCTGCCATAAAAACTTAAACCAGACATAGAATAGGGCCTGGCAAACACCAAATGGTAGCTGTTACTATTATGGTCATTCCTCATCCAGAGTCACTTGGTAGAGGAATCATCCAATAATTCCCAACACTGATTCCCAGCTTAGCAAGGCTTCTTCCTCATGCTTTGCCCTCTACTGCACACTTCTGCCACAAGGTCAACTGAAGGGCATCTGAACTGCTGCTACTTATGTCAGATTCCCCAATAAGAAAATGTGCTTCTAGAAGGCTGGGGCAGAATCCCAGAGCTCTGGCAGGCTCAGATTCGAGGTGTTCCTGATATTTGCCCTTCTCCCCCAGCCTTGGGGATGGCCAGTTCTATGCAGACCAAAATGCTGGTTCCTTGGTCCCTGGCAATCTGAGATGAGAGGACTCAAGGCCCCAGGTCCTAGAGTATCAGTTCTAAGTATCACTGTATTCGTAACAGTACTGCTGGTCCACAGCCCCACACAGAAACCACACAACAACAGGTAAGTAAAGACCTACTAAAATAACACGGGCCAAACAGAACCTTTGTATAACTTGCCCCCTTTGGACATCATCCCATTTCCTACCCAGGAAGTTTCACTTACTTACACTCTCTCTTCCTTTCACTCTGTAGATAAAATGGTATACTGATGGCTCCTCAACTTACAACAGGTTTACCAGCATGCAGCCCCATCGTAAGTTAAGGGACATAATGAATGGCATCACTTCACATCACCGTGAAGTTGTAAGTCAAACTACTAGCCAGGGACTAACTGCATGTTAACATCCAAACATACTCCAACAACAAGAGCGACACTGCCCTTCAACAACAGCTAGAGGAAGAAGGTAAATCACCACTGGGAACACACCAACTATCTATTCTGCAAGTTCACTTGCATTATCCAATTGAATTCTCAGGGCCAACTCTCTCCACTGTATGGTAAGAGAAAACCTTTGGCATTAGTGAGACACTGCGGCGGCGGTGGCAGGGGGTGGGGGGGGAGGAGAGACACATACACATCAATTTGGGTATCTGATCTCAAACCAGGTGAAGTGGGGACCAAAGGGAGGTCCAAACTTTTCTTGTACAATCACCACTTATATACCTAATCCTAAATTGTACCCCACATTTAAAAAAAAAAAAAAGAAAGAAAAAAACCTAGAGTGCAAAGTTGATTCAACCACCCCATAAGTGCTAAAACTAGTTTTACTAGTAACAAGAAAACCCTCCTAGTCCCAGCTGTCCGTCTGCCTTTACTGCTAGGCCAGCATACAAAAATCTCTTTGATTCAGAGCATTTATGCTTTGACTTTCACTAGTTTGCTCTATAAATTATGGTGAATTTTTTGTCTTCCCATCAATTTAAAAAAGGAAACAAAAACAAGAAACAAAAACTAAACTTCTTGGAGCAAACGTGGCTCTGCTAGAGATTTGAGCCCTGGCATAGCACACTGAAGAGTTTCACCTATTAAAATTGTTCCAGAACTCCAGGACTTGATGAGATGCTGAGAAACCAATTGACAAGACCCCAAAAAAACTCTCTCAAGAAAAGTCTAATTAAGCAAAAGTGAAGCTCAAAAATAAAGAGTTATATGGGTCAACGTCCCTGCAAAAGCCTGTACAGCTACAGCCTCCTAATTCCTCCAAGGAGAGAACACACTGCTAAATGGAGCAAATGTGAACTCTTCCAGAGCAGATGCTCAGGCAACAGAGGTCTGTGTTGGGCTGAGAAACAAAACAGATCAAGTTACCTTTTTTATACGTCCCATCCACGCCTTTGCCCATCTTATCCTTGCTGCTCACATCGCCCTCCATGTAAGGGAAAACTCGAGCTTGGTGAGTCCACAGATAGTCATTAGACCCAAAGAAGAGGACCGGGAACTCGCCCACATCGTGTCTCATCTTATCGATGTTGGAAGGAACAGCTCGAGGATGGCAGATCTCAGCTGGCCACCACCTGGGAAAGGTAAAAGCAAGGGAAGAAACCTCTGGAAGACTAAAAAGCACTAGGACAATAACCTCAGATAGGAATGAGGATTAGCAATGTCTGTACGTTCACAGAAGTCCATCCTAGGGCACTGTTACCACTCAACTGGAACACAAACAATAGTAAGAACACAATAGTCCATTACAGGCCATCCTAGGACATACTGAACACCTAACTAGAATACATACAAGCAGTATGTGCTAGAAGCCTAAAAACACCTGTCTACACTCCCACACATGCACCTACTCCCTTATTATACTTCAGGGAATCTATCAAAAGGAAATAATTAGAGATAGAAACAAAGATTTATGACAATAACATTCACTGAAGCATTATAAGAATGAAAAACTAAAAACAATATAAACCTTCATTATCAAGGGAATGATAGTAATAACCATGGTACACTAAACAATGAAACACAATTTGGCCTTTAAAAAAAATTTTCAATAATCATTAGGACCACAGAAAAATCAGCAGCAAGAAAGGAAACACACACACAACCAAAGGAAGTAAATTAGTATGATCACTTTAGGCAAATTTGGAGTTACCTATTAAAGCTAGAAACCTTATTTGACTCCAGACACTGCCTTAGGGAAGCTTCAGTGTAAGCCAAGAAACCCTGACAACATTTCCATAGTCCAACAGGAAAACTGATAAATAAACTCTCCAACACCAAGTGGTCTCTCAGGGGCACTGGAGAATATCGAACGGGGAATGAATTAGAGCATGATATTAGTGATGAATCACAGGGGCATAAAAGTGAATGAAAAACGTTACAAAAATGCTGGGCATGGTGACTCATGCCAGTAATCCCAGCATGCTGGGAGGCTGAGGCGAGAGGATTGCCTGAGCCCACGGATTTGAGACTAGCCTGGGCAACTTAGTGAGATCGCATGGTGTAGGCCTGTCGCCCAGGCTGGAATGCAGGGGCACGCTCATGACCACAGCCTCGACCTGCTAGGTTCAGCAGGCAATCCCTCCGCCTCACCTTTCTAAGTAGCTGGAACTGCAGACATATGCCACCATGCCACCACTAATTTTTTGACTTATTGTAGAAACGAGGTCTCGCCAAGTTATCCAGGCTGGACTTGAACACGAGGGCTCAGGCAATCCTCTTGCCTTGGCCTCCCAAAGTACTAAGATTACAGGCGTGCGTCACCATGCCCAGCCTTTGTCATTTTTAAAAATCAAAGAAATAGTACTCTGTGCATTCTTTGTTATATAAAAATAATTTTATTTTATTTTGTTTTCCTTTTGAGTTGGAGTCTCACTCTGTCGCCCAGACTGGAGTGCAATGGCACGCTCCCGGCCACCGCCGCCTCGACCTGCTGGGCTCCAGCGATCCTTCTGCCTCAGCCTTCCAAGTAGTTGGAACTACAAGCGCACACTACCACGCCCGACTAATTTTTTGATTTATTGTAGAGATGAGGTCTCGCCAAGTTGCCCAGGTGGGTCTCGAACCTGCGGGCTCAGGCGATCCACTCACCTCAGCCTCCCAAAGCGTGGGATTACAGGCTGAGCTACCGAGTCCAGCTAAATTTTGATTTATTGTAGAGATGAGGTCTTGCCAAGTTGCCGAGGTGGGGTCTCGAATCCACGGGCTTAGGCAATTCACTCACCTTGGCCTCCCAAAGCACAGGATTATAGGCTGAGCCACCGAGCCCGGCTTAAAAATAATTTTAAAAAGAAAAAGCAAGATGCAAAATTGGGTGTAAGCTACAAGGATAATTCTTTGGGGACAGGAGGCGGCTGGGTAATGGTATTTCTCCAACTAAATATACAGAAATGTGAACAATGTATCTTCCTTGTTTGTGAGATTATGAGTTTGTTTTCATTAATGAGCTTTACACAGAGAATATGTATTATTCCTATAATTGCACATCATAAAGTTATATTTTTTTCTTTAAAAACTTAGTTTTGTTTTTTTTCCAGGACAGGAGCCAGGGCAACACCTGAGTGAGGCAGGTGGACTATGCTGATTGGATCCAGGGCAGATCTGGAGATTAAACCACAAGGTTTGCTGATGAGTTGCTAAGGAAAGGCCTGCAAGCATGACCTAGGATCCTAAGGGTCGGACCCAGGATGCTGAGGCAGGGGGCTTGGGAATGTCGTTTTCTTTTCTTTTTTCCCCTCAGAGACAGGGTTAGCGCTGTCCCTCAGGTTGGAATGCTGTGGCAAGATCACAGCTCACTACAGCCTTAAACTCCTGGGCTCAAGTGATTCTCCATCTCAGCCATCTAAGTAACTGGGACGACACCTGGCTAAAACTTTTTTTTAAGGGATGGGGTCTTACTCTGTTGCCCAGGCTAGTCCTGAACTCCTGGCCTCAAATGATCCCCCTGCCTCAGCCTCCCAAAGTGCTGGGATTGTAGCCATGAGCCACTGTGCCTGCCAGGTAATTTTCTTATTGGGGGATGGGAGGGATGGTGGAAGGGGAGCCTAAGCCGGAAGAGCAATTAAAAAAGTTAAGCACTGGCCTGGCGCGGTGGCTCAAGCCTGTAACCCCAGCATTTTGGGAGGCCGAGACGAGAGGACTGCCTGAGCTCAGGGGTTTAAGACCAGTCTGGAAGCTTGGTGATACCTCGTCTCTACAATTAAAAAAAAGGTAAGCACTGTATCCGAGAGGTTCCAAGGAACAAAGGATGATAAGAGAAATGGGTGCCACTTTTCTTCATGCTTACCTGTATCGTCCAACTTTTACCCAGACGATCTCCCTGTAATGTGGCTTTTTGCCTGCCTTGCAGTCATTGCAATACCAGTTTCCTTCAGGGATGTCAATGTTCAGACATTCGCGATGAAAGGCAGCAGGGCAAGAGTCACAGCACAGAAGGCTGCCTCCTGGGGGAGTAAGAAGTCCGGCATTCAGAAAACAAGGCTGTGTAACGACCCGGCCAAAACAGACTCTGCTTAGCTCCTAGTCAATTATTTGTCTCCCCAGCAAAAGGCTTAGTAATCTAATTAGCTATACAGAAAGACTTTTTCAGCCTTGATCGCCTGGGCTCAAGTGAGTCTCTCGCCTCAGTCTTCCCAAGTTCTGGGATTAGAGATGTAGCCCTCACACCCAGCCCCAGAAAGACTTTTGTGCCAAAGTACTCAGCCTCAGTTGGGCATGGTGGCTCACGCCTATCATCCCAGCACTTTGGGAGGCAGAGGCAAGAGGACTGCCTGAGCTCAGGGGTTCAAGACCAGCCTAAGCAACACAGGGAGACCTCACCTATACAATAAATACAAAAATCAGCCAGGTGTGGTGACATATGCTTGTGGTTCCAGATACTTGGAAGACTGAGGTGGAACGACCGCCTGAGCCCAACAGGTCGAGGCTGTGGTGGCCGTGAGCATGCCACTGCACTCCAGCCTGGGTGGCAGAGTGAGACTCCCACACACAACATACATAACACACAAAAAGTATTCAGCCTCCAATATTCCTGAACACTCCCCCCTACTCTCCAAGGTTTGTGAGATTTAGTTAATAAACATGAGAGCTTTTAAGTAAAATTAAGTCAATAAGGAACTGATAAAAGTTACGTATCTGTATACTTACACACATATATACATTTTCTTTCCCTTCACTAGAAAACCATGCACTAAATTAAGAGTATCAACAACACATAGTGACCAGAGTGTAAAAAAGAGCTCAAGCTTAAACTGACATCAGATTAACGTTAGAATTCTAGTTCTAAGGACCATATGACTTCAGGGAATTCACCTTCCTTCCAAACTATAAAGTCTTCAGTGGAAAGGTATTTTCTCCAATGAACAATAATCCCACCTGTTTGAGGACTCTAGTAGTATCTGGCACATAAGTGGTATATACAATTAGTTCTTTCCCCTTTTTTAAAATTACTAGCTTTTGTGGTAGTTTCAGTAAGAGAGGTTTATGTTTTCTTACTTGTAGCCAAAGAGAAAAAAACCAACAAAAAAGTATGTTGAGGCACTTATCTATGTATCTGATTTTCCACCCAAAAAAGTGTTTGGAACTCTTGTGACACCTATAGGCTCTTTTCAGAACGTCAATTATATTAAAATATAACTATCAAAAGGTCAGAACAAGGCCGGGAGTGGTGGCTCACACCTATAATCCCAGCACTTTGGGAGGTGGAGTCGAGAGGATTGCCTGAGCCCATGGGTTCGAGACCAGCCTGGGCAACTTGGCGAGACCTCCTCTCTACAATAAATCAAAAAATTACCTGGGCATGGTGGTATGACCTGTGGTTCCAGCTACTTGGAAGGCTGAGGTGGAAGTATCTCCTGAGCCCAGCGGGTCAAGGCTACAGTGGCCATAAACATGCCACTGCACTCCAGCCTGGGCAACAGAGTGAGACTTCGACTCAAGAAAAGAAATGTCAGAGAAAGAGATGTAGACCTACATGTTTATTTGTAATGTATAACAAGATCTAGCAGTAGTAATGACTGAAAACTACTGCTGACCACAAGCCATGTGACCCAGCCTGACTTGCTGAGAAACCAGGTTAACTATATATTGCAGTGATAATGAATTTTCTCTTCTTAAAGATTTTGTACTTAAAGTAACTCACAATTTATATATATCTGATTCTGAAACATTTATTGTTACAGATGGCAGATAAGGTGTTTCAGGTGAGAAAGATTCACATTTAAGGAATACAACACAGGCCTTACATATGTCAGAAATGAGCAGGCTTCCAACAGGCAGGACTTTAAACAGTTAATGAAGAGTAAAGCTGATTCACCTTGTTCTGCCTGTGCTGATTTTGCCTCTTAAAATCCTACTAAAGATAGTTTTGTGACAGTTTCTTCCCATGCTGATTTTGGACGTTTCTGAATAATTCTTTAGAGTCGGCTCTGAAAATAAGAATTTTGTTTTGGAGGGGAGCCAGGGGTGTGAGCTCTACTAGGATCTGACTTCTGCTTTAACTAGAAAAGCTCACCTTTTGTCTGTATTCTATACAGGAGCTCAGATTCAGAATATGTCATTTGGAAACGTATCTGGTGCTAAAAAACAAGTCTGAAGAGCGAATTACACAGTCTCAAATTCATACTTAACTATTTTGGGGCATTTTGTGGCTAAATTAAATAATCTTAGAATGTAACCATTAAGAGTGACATAAAATAGCCGGGCGCAGCGGCTCACCCGAGCACTCTGGGAGGCGGAGGCCAGAGGATTGCCTGAGCCCAGGGGTTCGAGATTCGCCTGGACAACTTGGCGAGACCTCATCTCCACAATAAATAAAAAAAATTAGGCACAGTGGCTCACGCTTCTAAACCCAGCACTTTATGAGGCGGAGATGAGAAGACTGCCTGAGCCCGCAGGTCTGAGACCAGCCTGGGCAACATGGTGAGACCTCGTCTAATATAAATGTTTTAAAAAGTAGCCAGGCGTGGTGGCACATGCTTAGTAGTTCCAGCTACTTGGAAGGCTGAGACAGGATTGCCTGAACCCAGCAGGTCAAGGCTGCAGTGGCCATGAGCCTAGGTAACAGACTCCAACTCAAACCTAAAATAATAAATAAAAATAATAAATAAAAAATGTACTTTAGCCCTCAGATTCCTGTTTCCATTCTAAGGGTACAATTATAAAATGCTCTATTTAAATGCTATGAAATACAAAAACCCTGCCTTTAAACTCATTTCAAATACATTTACAAGGATAAAATGGTAAACAGACACGTGTTCATCTGAAGACAGTTTTACAAGGAGTACCAATCATAAAAGGAATAGGTATTAGAAGAAACAAAAAGTTTTATTTTTGAGTTGGAGTCTCACTCTGTTGTCCAGGCTGGAGGGCAGTGGCACCCTGCTCACAGCTACCACAGTCTCAACTTGCTGGGCTCAAGCGATCCTTCCACCTCAGCCTTCCAAGTAGCAGGAACTACAGGCGTGTACCACCACATCCGGCTACTTTTTAAAATTTACTGTAGACATGAGGTCTCACCATGTTGCCCAGGCTAGTCTCAAACCTGCGGGCTCGGGTAATCCTCTTGCCTCTGCCTCCCAAAGTGCTGGGATGACAGGCATGAGCCACTCTGCCTGGTCACAGAAATGTTTTATACAAGGTAATCATACAGCTAACATGTCTTTAAAAATCAGCATAATTCTTGATGAGCATGAAAACATCCTTACATCAAAGTTGTACTTCCACTGAATACTCTTTTTCTACATTAGCACCAGTGTAAGGATATAAACAAATACACATTCAAACTCCAATGAGTTTCTTAACTTGGCATGTTATATTAAAAAAAAAAAAATTTCAACAAAGTCTCCCCATACTGCTCAGACTGGTCTCAAATGTCTGGGCTCAGGCAATTCTCTCGCTTTGCACTCCCAAAGTGCTGGGGTTACAGGTGTGAGCCACCGCACCTGGTCAACCTGTTACATCAATCTTAACAGCACCAAAAAAAGTGTCCAAACTGACAATCTTCAATCATATGAAGCAAACAAAAAAAGGTTTTTTTTTGCTTTTGCACTATCTGGCATATCAAAATTTCAAAATATGGGTTAACACCCCCTTGATTCATCAGAACCCACTTGATTTCTTGACTTCTACGATGAAACAGACTCTAGTCTGCCGAGAGGGAAGGTTTCAGAAAGGAACAGAATACCATTAGTAGAAGATTCTCCTTTTACAGAATTATTAGCATACATATCTGATGATACAGATCTCCTTAGTGATATCTTTTCTTATCGTTTTTGTGTGTGTGTGAGACAAGGTCTCACTATGTTGCCCAGGATGGTTTCGAACTCCTAGGTACAAATGATCCTCCCACCTCAACCTCTCCAGTAGTTGGGATTACAGGGGTGCCATCATGTCTGGATTCCTTAGTAACATCTTAAGAAAGAGGAACTATAAGAAAGTATTGTTTTTTTTAGGGGAAGTCACCTTCGGGAAGAGAGGGTAAACAAACAATGAAGAGAGAGCTCAGGAAAAACTCAAACAGAATGAGGTAGGCTGTGAAAAAAGTCAGCCCTACACAGAATCAAAGTTAAAACAACAAAACAAAAACAAGGTTAGCACTCATTGATATTTATTTTCTGACCAGGTGTGGTGGCTCATGCCTGTAATCTCAGCACTTTGAGAGGCTAAGATGAGGCTTGCCTGAGTCCAGGAGGCTGAGGTGGAAGGACTGCTTAAACCCAGGAGTTTCACGCTGTTGTGAGCCATATGCCACTGTACTCCAGTCTAGGTGACAGAGACCAACCCAACACAAAAAACAACAGAAAAGTGAGGAAAATCATTGCCAGGAACCACTATCCAAAAAATTCAGTTGATCTGAAAACGAATGAGGACCCTAAAGAAGAGAACTAGTCAACAAGTCAAAATAAAGAAGTCAGAATTCTCAACACCACAATTTACATACTGTTCCTGAGTACTAAACCCTCCACTTAGCCAGGAGAAACAAGATTGATAGGGCCTTTTGTTGTTGTTGTAGAGACAGCGTCTGGCTATGTTGCCCATGCTGGTCTCAAATTCCTGAACTCAAGCTATCCTCCGGTCTTGGCCTATCAAAGTGTCGGCATTATAGGTCTGTGCCACTGTGTCATGTCCCAGGGCTTTTTTTTTTTTTTGGTCTGACATTTTAAGAAGGCTGTAGTCAGCAGTCACCACTGCTCTCTTAGCTTTGAAATGCTGCCCAGGGAAGACAAAAAGAAAGATGCCAGAAAGTCAGCCAATAAAAAGACAAAGACCCGGTGAGGAAAACTAGGGGCAGGTGGTCCAAAGACAAAGCTCAGGACAAGATCAATCATCTAGTCTTGTCTGACAACATTACCTATGACAAACTCCGCAAGGAAGTTCCTAACTATAAGCTTAACCCCAGCTGTGGTCTCTGAGAGACAAAAGATTTTCAGCTCCCTGACCAGGGCATCCCTTCAGGAATTCCTTACTAAAGGATTTATCAAACTGGTTTCTAAAGCACAGAACTCATTTACATTTGCTGGGATTTCAGGCTTGAGCCACTGTGTCAAGCCTACAACTCATTTTTTAAAAACACAATTATATGATATCATTTTCTAGAATTATTTCTGTCTAGACATCTGTCTTTGTGTCTGCTGATATGCATAAATGACTATAATGCCATTTAATATCGAGCAATGATTTTTTACTAATGTGAAATTTGGTGTGAATTTTTTTGTTTCTCTGTTCTTTCCTTTATTGCTTCAGCTATTATCTATCATTTTAACAAAAATCAAGTCATTACTCAAAATACAAAACTAGAACCTCTCCCTGCTGGGCAACAAAGCCAAGTTTTGTTGTTTTGTTTTCGTTTGTTTGCTTGTTTTTGAGCCAGGGTCTCACACACAGTCATCCAAACTGGAGTGTGGTAGCACGACCACGGCTCATTGTAGCCTCAATCTCCTGGGCTCGGGAGACTCTTTGTACCTCAGTCTCCTGAGTACCTTCGACTACAGGTGCCTACCATCATGCCTGGCTAACTTTTTTATTTTTTATACATATGGGGTTCTATGTTGCTTAGGCTGCTCTTGAACTCTTGAGCACAAGCAATCCTCCTATCTCGATCTCCCAAAGTACAGGGATTACAGTCATGAGTCACCCACCCAGCCCAACAAAACAAAGTTTTAAAAGTTTTGCTATGCTATTTTAATTCAAGACGTCACTTCCGAAAATTTTTTCCAGAACCAATATGAAGAAAATTATCTTGTTCCAATGAAAACATTGCATTAATCTTATTTTATGCTACTAATGCAGCCAGAAGTCATTTCTTACCTTCTGAGCACACAAAGCACCAGCTAACATTAACATGCTCATGATTTCGGCAGCCCCGCCTAGGGGTAAAGTGATTAGGGCAGATGATGCTATTAGATGCAAGGATCTTGGACCCAGCAGCCAGGCAAAAGTCATTGGCATGGTATGCCACAGGGCAGCGAACACAGCGCATCAAGCGACCTAAAGCAGAAAAAACAGGGAGGAGCAAAAGAAAAACAAAGAGATCAAATACAAAAACAATGAGAGTTACTCAAAATCAGCCCCAGACTACAAAGGGGGAGGGGACAGAACACCAGTGTTTGCCTGGTACTGGGTGATGCTTAACGCCTTTCAGGTGAATGAACTGCACTGGACTCTACTAGCTGGTTTGAGAGAAGCACCCCGGAAACCTATCAATCTTTCAAAACCTGCCGAAATTCTTCAGGGTCCCAATGAGTCGCCGGGATATTTCTTGAGTGTCTTCAAGAGGCGTTCCATACCTATACCCCATTTGATCCCTTAGCACCCGAAAATGCTCAGGCTATCAATTTGGCTTTTGTGACTCAGGTGGCCCCAGCCCCCGACATCTGAAAAAAGTTACAAAAGCTTAAGGGCTTCGCAGAAATGAATATCTCTCAGCTGCTTGAAGTAGCCCAAAAGGTTTTTAATGACCAATGCTGAAAAACAAAAATAGGCAGCACAGGAGGCAGACAGAACAGCCAAACGGCAGGCAAAAATATTGGTAACTGCCCTCCAAGCTTCCCAACCTGACTCAATGCTGCCACGCCAAACAAAGGAGGAAACTAAAAAGGGACAGAGGAGGACTAAACGTTCCCTGCTGGCTAAGAATCAGTATGTATACTGCAAAGAATTTGGTCACTGGAAAAAGGATTGTCCCCGTCGCCCAAAAGTAGACAACCCTATGGAACACCCCTTTTCTGCCGATACAGAAACCAGGAACCTCCAACTACAAACCAGTCCAGGACGTCAAAAAGGTCAATAAGCAGGTTGAAACTATCCATCCTACTGTTCCCAACTCTTATACATTTGACTCAGCTTACTTCCTCCTCAACACCAGGTTTACACTGTCAGGATTCAGAGGAGAAGAACTCTGGTCTTCTAATCAAATAGAGGCAAAAGGAAAAGATCTATAACCTAGTCTTGTCTGACAACACTACCTATGACAAACTCCACAAGGAAGTTCCTAACTATAAGCCTGCTCTTGACTGCTGCCAATAAAGGACTCAATATTTAACTCTCAGTGTGTTGGCGACTCCTTACTCGCGGTGTGGCTACAACACATACATATGCTACCACACCCAGCAAAACTGAGATTTTTTTTTTGAGTTGGAGTCTCACTCACTCTGTCACCCAGACTGGAGTGCAATGGCCGCTCCCGGCCACCGCAGCCTCTACCTGCTGGGTTCCGGCCATCCTTCCGCCTCAGCCTTCCAAGTAGCTGGAACTACAGGCGTGCACTACCACGCTCAGCTAGTTTTTGATTTATTGTAGAGATGAGGTCTCGCCAAGTTGCCCAGGCGGATCTCGAACCCACAGGCTCAGGCAATCCAGTCACCTCGGCCTCCCAAAGTGCTGGGATTACAGGCTGAGCCACCGAGCCCGGCCAAAACTGAGACTTTTATCCAGCAAGTTAAATTACTGCACACAGGACTAATCATCCTTAAAAAAAAATACTGTAAGTTTGATTAAAAGAAAAGTCAACAATGCTCATTCTTTCACAAGAAAAACTGGGGCTCTTTTGGCATACAAACATTTACCAATAGACCCAGTATTTGGCTTTTAGAAAAATCAGTGGGGCCGGGCGCGGTGGCTCAAGCCCGTAATCCCAGCTCTTTGGGAGGCTGAGGCGAGAGGATTGCCTGAGCCCACGTGTTTGATATCAGCCTGGGCAACTTGGCAAGATCCCGTTTCTGCAATAAATCAAAAATTTAACCTGGTGTGGTGGCAAAGGCTTGTAGTTCCAGTTACTTGGAAGACTGAGGAGGAAAGATCACCTGAACCCAGCAGGTCGAGGCTGCAGTGGTCGTTGAATATGCCACTGCAGTCCAGCCTGAGGGACAGAGAGATACTCTGTCTCAAAAAAGAAAAAAGAAAAGAAAAAAGGAAAATCAATGAAAGGTTCACTATTATCAAACAGAAAGGAAAAGTTATTTTACCAATTAGAAGAAATTTCAAAAATTGAGTTTACCTATAGGCACAATGTTGGAAAACTCAGATCTCAACCTGACTATGAATCAGAAGTTAGTTTGTAGGATAAGAGTCTCTGTTAAAAAAAAAAAAAATCAAACCCAGTAGGAAGGGAGGGAGAGAGGGAGGGGGTGAGGGAAGGAAGGAAGGAGAAAGAGAAAACAGAAACAAAATCCAACATAAACCCCCAATTTTGTACCAAAACACATTTCTGAATGATATCATATCTGATGTCAGGTTTCAGAGGAGAAGAATACACTCTGGTTTTCTAATCAAAAAGAGGCAAAGGACATGCGGCAGAACCCTTTCTGACGCTCAATCTCACATGAAACCCAAGCATGGAATAGCACCACAGGAGGCCCCGATGAGCTAGCTGCTGAACTAGTCCACTCCTTTCCTCTCCTCTCCCACATGCGACGCTGGCACTCTCTCTCAGTGACAAGAACTAGAGGGAGGCTGGAAAGAGACATGCCAGACTACACTTGAAAACATCTGCCGCCAGTAAAATGAGGTCCTACAATTAGACTGGTTCACATGAGAAAGCCATACCTTTAGATGCAGAAACACTGGCTGGATTAGCAGCATGGCAGGTTATGCAGATGTGAAGGGAGCACCGGAAGCCCTTGTTTTGCATGACAGTGGGCGGGTACTTCTGAACACACTCTTCATGGTAAAACTTTCCACACAAGGGCAGAAGGCACCTTTTAACATCTTCCCCACTCTGCTTACATACAAAACAGGTATGGATTCCTAAGAAACCAAAAGATAATAAATTACAATAACTCAAGAAATCTACCAAATGCTAAACCATTAGCTAAAAAGTCAGTAAGAAACTTTTTTTAAAAAAGAGATAGGGTCTCATTTGTCTCCTGGGTTGGAGTGAAAAGGTCACTGCAGACTCAAACTCCTGGAATTGAGGGGTCCTCCTGCCGCAGCCTCCTGAGTAGCTGGGACTACAGGTGCATGTCATCATGCTAGGCTGAAGTGAGAACCTTTTTAACGGACTGATTAGGCTGACAACATCTGAACCCACACAACAATCTGACAACACATGCCTGATTGACATGACTCAAACAGGAAGTGAACACTCTGCAAAGCAAGCTGGCCTTCTACCTCCCTCCCAGTAAAAAACACACCAAATCTAATCCTGCCTCTAGATCAAACTATAAGTTTACAGGAAACATGGAGGATGGAGGAAGAAGTTAAGGAATGATATCGATCAAATTGAGAGTACAAAAAATTTAACAGTACAAAAGACCATTGCTTAAACAATGGCATAAAAATAGGGTGGGGGAGCAGTACTGATATAGGCAGAGTAAGAGAAGAGACATATACAAAATACAATGCAGGAAACTTATTTCGACTTAAACTTGATTCGAAACACTCAGTTTAAGGAAAAAAACAAAGGACCCCATTTCTCCTTCAAATGCTTTACAATGTAAGGAAGAGTCCAGACTTGAGGGGCAAACAGACCTGAGTATGAGTCCTGTTGCTGACATTTCCTGAAACTACGGTTTGATCAAATCATCTGTGTTATCTACAAACAGTGAAAATATCCAGCTAATAAAAAGTGTAGGGAAAATTTAGAAATATGTATTTGTAAGAAAGCAAATCACAGCCTGCTGTTGCATAAATGGCAGCTATGACGAAACTGGAGCAATCTACAAGATGATGCAGTGCCCCTATTGCAGGAAAACAGGCCGCACTAAAAGCACAGAGAAAAGAATCCGTTTCTTCCTCTCTTCGTCTTTTTTACTTAGTTAGCTAGCTACCTATCTCTGCTCATCTTTACTAACACTGGAGTAACATTTCCTACTCTCTAAAACAGCTTTACTATACACTATACCTCATACTACAAACAAAAGTTAAGTCACAAGAGATCACAGACCTAAATGTGAAAACTTTTTAAAGCAACAAAATTCTCAGAAGACGGTGACACTGGATTAATCAAGATTTCTTAGATATGACACGAAAACATAGTCCATAAAAAGAAGAAACTGACAAACTGGCTAATCAAAATTAACAACTTTTGCTCTTCCAAAGACACCACTAAGAGAATGAAAATGCAAGCCATAGATAAGTCAATAGGGAAACGGAATGCAAGTTAAAACCACTATCAGATACCATCAGAATGGCTAAAAGTAAAAAGATGACAGTACAAAAGGTTGACAAAGATACAGAGGAATTAGAACTCTCATACACTGCGGATGGGAATGTGAAATGATACAACCACTTTAAAAAACAATTAGGCAGTTTTTTAAAAAGTCAAACATATGTTTGCAATAGGATTCGACCATTCTAACTCTTAGGCACTTAAGTAAAAAGAAATGTGTCCAAACAAACACTTAAATGTTCTCAGCAGCTTTACTGGTAATAGTTATAACTGGTAACAACACAAACTGTTCATAAATAGATGAGTGGACCAACAAAGTAGCAAATGCACACAACAGAACACTGGTCAGCAATAAAACACAAATGAACTGCCAATACACTTAACAACATTGTTGAATTTCCAAATAATTATGCTGACTGACGATGACACAGATGTACGCAAATATACATACATCAAAGATTATCAAATCATACATTTGAAAAGTACACTTTATTGTACTCCAATTATATCTCAAAACAGCTGTTTTAAGAAAAAAAAAAGCTACTGATATGCACATCAAAACAGAGAGTCTAAAAAACACTGCAAGGACTAAATACTGTTTCATTTCATTTATATCAAACTCTAAGCAAGATACATTTAATTGGTTGTTGCAGAAATAAGAATATTGACTGTTGCCTGGAGTTAGGGAGGAGAATGACTGGGACTGAGCATAAGGGAACTTTTGGAGTGATGGAAAATGTCAAAATCTTCATTGTCACTGTGGTTAGAAAAATATATATATTTTATCAAAACCTATCAATACATACACTTTAAATGGGTCATTATATAGTGGGTAATTATATTTCAATGAAGTTACTTTCTTAAAAATATCTTTAACTTAGATCAACTTGTTCAGAGAATATGATATCATAATAAAGACAGTACGACAAAACAGGACTACTGTTATACAAGGAATGAAGGCATTTCTAATATTAGGATAATGGAGAAACTCATATACCGAAATTTCTTTTTCCAAATTTCATTTACAGGGAGAGATGGCACTTATTTCCCATAATGACCAAAATCTAGTTGTGCAGAAGACAAAACAACACCATACTTGTCTCCCATCTTTTGTTTCCAACTGCTAACAGTCGTTGCAATAAAATGAAGTAACTGCCCCAACTGACAGCAGTCTCAGTCTGACACGGGCATCTACTTACAGACTCAAGGAAATTCACTCTCTTGTTTGCTACTCTAAAGCTATACTCTACAGGTCACGTTAGCAACAATGGCCTTTTCCCATGTTTTTCCCACACCAAGAAAAACTTCTTCAACTTCCTTCTTCTGTCTCACAACTCCACGGCACATCCCCATCTTATTGCTACTTTTCTCTCTTCTCGCTCCCTAACAGTATCCGTGATTGCACTACCATTATTCCCCCTCCTGCCGCAGAAATTTATTTCTCTACATTGGTTACTAACTGCCATCCTACAAACACACAGAATGATCATCCTTTTGACCCTATAATATTCTCAGGTCTACTGCCTTCCTTTCAGTTGAAATCAAGTGTCTTTTTTTTTTTTTGAGGAAGGTCTCGTTTTGTCACCTTGAACTCCTGGGCTCAAGTGATCCTCCTGCATCAGCCACCACGTAGTTGGAACTACAGGTGCATCACGATGCCCAGCTAAATCTTTTATATTTTTATACAGACAGGGCCTTGCTACGTTGCCCAGGCTGGTCTTGAACTCCCAGCCTCAAGCAGTCCCTCCCACCTCAGTCTCCCAAAATGCTGGGATTATAGGTCTAAGCCAATGTGACCCGCCCAAGCTTCTTCAAGAAGGCGTGTACAAGGCGGGACACCCAAAAAACTGGAATTATCTTTTGAAGGGCAAGTTGCAGTACAGGCTCTCTGTACCAGCTAAGTGTGCCAGGAACCAATGAGCCTTGGTGGACCAGCTGGTGCTGCTGGAAGAGGCTGTGCTCAGCTTCAGTAAATTTCTTTGTGGTAAACAGGTGACTGGTTCTTCGACTATGACAATGCACCTGTACACACTGTGCTGAGTGTTCAGCAGTTTTTGACCCAACACAGCTGACCCCCGAGCCCCACCCTCCCTATTCACCCAGTATCATCCCCAGACTTTTTCCCCCTGTTTCCCTGGATTAAAAAAGTTCTCAAAAGGAATCATTTTGCTGATGTGGAAGAGGTGAAACCAAAAATGGCAGATGCACTAAAAGGCATAAAAATCAACAAGTCCAAAACTGTCTTGAGCAGTGGAAAAAGCATCTTGATAGGTGTATGCATCAAACAGAGAGGACTTTGAAGGTGATTGAAGGTTAAACGTGCAAGAATAAATACACAATTTTTTACAAATAAATCCTGGGTTTTTTGGGGTCCTCCCTCATATGCTGCTTTTGTTCATCCTTCAACCTAGTTAAAAGTGGCAAAAAGTGAAACATTTACTCATTGCCACATATAAGAGCCTCTTTTCACTCCAGAATCTCCTTGGCATGTTGCTGCATCTGCCCTTCTGGTACCATTCCACCCCCGTGGTTTCACAAATATTGACTGATTTCTGCTCACCTTCCAGTCATTTGGAATAAGGAGTATGCTCAGGTTGTGCCAGCAGCCCCTTCTCACTCCACTGATGCTTTTTCGTTGGGTAGCAGCACCCACATCTGAGGCTTCAGTGACTCAGGGCATCAACCTCACTGTCAAATATTTCGGCACCACATACCAGGCCAAAGAAGAACATCCTCCTGAGCACAGCATGAAAAAGTGTTTTCCAGCCGGGTTCAGTGGCTCAGCCTGTAATCCTGCACCTTTGGGAGGCTGAGGTGAGCGGACTGCCTGAGCCCGCAGGTTCGAGACCCACCTGGGCAACTTGGTGAGACCTCATCTCTACAATAAATCAAAAATTAGCTGGGCATGGGAGCACGCACCTATAGTTCCAGCTACTTGGAAGGCTGAGGTGGAAGGATTGCCGGAGCCCAGCAGGTTGAGGCTGCAGTGGCCAGAGCGGCCACTGCACTCTAGTCTGGGCGACAGAGTGAGACTCCATCTCAAAAAAAAAAAAAAAAAGAAAAAGAGAAAGAGAAAGGTTTTCCCAGCGGGTCTCAAGCTAGCATTCCACTTACCTGGCCTAATCTATATATTGTAACTCTTCCAGAAAAAAAAATTTTTTTTTTTTTTTGGTAAAAATTTTTATGGATGTATGTATGATTGTACACACCAAAAAATGCAAACAAACTAAAGTGCACGAAAAATCATAAAGCAAACACTACTCAGATCAATACATTTAACATCACCAGTGACTAAGAAGCCCTCTTGATTATGACCTATGCCTCTTCACTGAAAGATCTTATACTCTAAATCCTCCATATTTTCCAAATATTTCACTCACAGACTTGTGCTCTTCCCCCTAAATACACCAATCTCAAGTTCTCTCTTAAAATTCAACGAAGGTATGCTCATCTGTGGTATTAGCTTACCTTTGCTCACTCTGCACTTTTTTTTTTTTTTTGCTTGGAAAGTATAGTTTATTTAGAAAGTAAATTAGAGAGAGAAGATTCACCTTCCCAAAGGAGGGGAGTGGACCAAAGCTAAGAAACATGGTAGCCATAGCTCCAAGAGTCACATGGTCATACCAGAGTCTAACAAAGCAACAGTAAGCTGCACTTTCAATGTGTCTTCAACACGACGCTTTTCACACTGTACTGTGCACTTCATTCATTATTAACTTGGTAGTTTTCCTGATGTCAGGAACCACCCTGCACCATTTCTGTGTCTGCAGCCACTAACCCAGTGTTGCCAAAAAATAGCATTTCCAAGAAACATTCTTTTCTCCCCCAAAAAACATACCTGTGCGACATTCATTGCAGATAAACTTTCCTCTTGGCATCTCAGTTAACCCAAGGCACTCCAGGTGGAAAGCCCCACAGCACTGAGCCTCACATAACAGCAGCTCACCCAATTTCTCACAGTTCTGTTAAAAGAAAACAGATTTGTCTACAGAAAAAAAGATTTTTAAAAATTCCAAGAGGAAGGCTCTTCTGAGGAATTAAGGAATTTTTTTTTGCCAGAAATAAGAGATCCCACCATTCACTGAACTATATTTAATATCACCTCCTCAGTGCCAGATACCATAAGGTCCCTGGCTCTCGTGGTTCTTAAATTCTAAGGACAGAAGATACAAATAAACAATCTGGAAAAAAGATCACATAATGTTAAATGTTAGGCAGAAAACTTAAATAGTTACTTGGGATTGGGTAATCAGGCAGGACTTCTCAGATTGGGTTCCAAACTGAGCTCTGAATGACAATACTGTCACATGAAGATCTGAAGGAAGGGTCAGAAAGGCAGCAAGTCCACAAACCTGTTTTTATATCTATTTTTCCATGTTTGACAATCACAAGGAAAGCCAGTGTCACTGGACTAAAGTAAACAGAGGTTACAAATGACAGATAATGGGGTGAAAAGGAGGCCAGGGCCCATAGTTTTAACTTTTTTTTCTAATTACAGGAGTGTACCACGGGAGAGCTTTACCAAGGGAAGGATGAGATCAGGTATTCATGTTTAAAAAGATCCCTCAAAAAGCCACAAGAAAAATGAGCTACAGGTAAGAAAGGTGAGAACAGAGCAAAGACACAAGGCAGGAGGCCACACAGTGGTTCAAGCAACAGACACAGGCCTGCTTGACTTGGGTTGCCGAAGTCCCAAGAGACTCCCCACTAGGTCTGAACAGCCCTGTGAGACACATATAGACCATCTCTGAGAGGTCACCTTTCTGAGATGACTTCATCTGTGACAGAGTTACACTCACGGCAGAGGCACAGGAAAAAACTAACATCGGTCACTATGAAAACATATAAGATTTATGAAAATCTTGCACATTCTCAACATGTATTACTTTTAAGCCACTGTTAACATCCTAACTTGCATCCCCATAGTAATTAGCCGGAAAATGCTAAAAACGTTTAAGTCTTATACTTATCGTGTAAGGCAAGGAAGAAGAAAGATGATTAATCTACTCAAGAATTCAAAGAACATGTTTTGGTCATGTACAAACATCAGAACTTAAATAAATGAGAAGAGTTTAGAGTTTTGGGAAGAAAGGTGAGAGGCAGCCTGAGAGAGGACCCAGGGCCTTACTTAACCTGTAGTCTGAGATATTCTCAAATGTCTGACTCTTCCATTATCCACTGTTCACACATAAAATTTGAAAACGTTATGTTATATATTGCGCTTTGTATATTCAGTGTGTCAATAATATCAGTTTTCATATAAAGTAAACAAATTTAACTTTATTCTACTTAATAGGTATACATTATAATATAAATAGAAGAATAAATGAATCAAATTAACTGAATGTTATTGACGAAGCCCTCGATCGAGATGACCATATAATTTATCTTTCCAAGTAGGACACTTGAGAGCAAAAGGAGCTGCCATCAATAAGTTATACTTGGTCAGGCTTGATGGCTCAGCCTGTAATCCCAGCACTTTGGGAGGCCAAGGCAAGTGGATTGCCTGAGCCCGCGGGTTTAAGACCCACTCAGGCAACTTGGCGAGACCTCACCTCTACAATAAAGCAAAAATTAGCCGGGCGTGGTAGTATGTGCCTGTAGTTCCAGCTACGTGGAAGGCTGAGGCGGACGGATTGCCAGAGCCCAGCAGGTCGAGGCTGCAGTGGCAGGAAGCGTGCCACTGCACTCCAGTCTGAGCGACAGAGACTCCAACTCAAAAAAAAAAAAAAAAAATCTGGACAACAGATTTAGACAAAGACAGGTCCAAACAATAATGGACTATAGATAGGGTCACCCCACCTTAAATATTTTTATTAAATATTCTTTATAAAATGCATTGACACTCTGACTTGTCTCACTCAGTAAATAATGGCATAACTGTCCTTAAGGATCGACACTGTGTTTGGGAGCTGGTCCGAATATGATCAACACTCTTGATATAATGCCAAAAATGAATAGGTAAAGAAACTAGGTTGACGTTATATTGGCCATAATGACATCTTCTGGTCTGGGTTTATTTTTTTAGTGGTTCCAGTTACAAAAAAAAAAAAAAGAACCTATATTCTCAAGTTTTTATATACCAAATTTTAAGAACTTACATAAGACCACATAAAGGGAACATACCCAAATATTCCACTTAATTGACTCTGCTTCCAGAGTCACACCTCACAGAGAGGCAACACAACACAAAGGTTAAGACTCTAAACCCTGACTGCCTAGGTTTGCATCCAGGCTTCACTGTGTGAACATAATGAAGTTATTTAACTTCTCTGTAATTCAGTCTCCGCATCTGCAAAATGGAAGTAACAACAGAATTCTTTCTACTTATGAGATTGCTATGATGACTAAGTGATGTAGTATTTGGAATATTTGGAATAATACCTGACATATAGTAACCCAAAGAGGCTGACACCATGAGAAATACACAGGAATTACGTTTGACTAAGCAACCAAGATTCACTTTTCCCATCTCAGACCTGCTTCTGGGAATAGACGCATTCGTGGCATTCATGGGCTTTAAGGATAGGTAAGTCACCAGCACGAACCTATTTCTCCTTGTTCTTTTATTATGGGAGGGGAAAAAGAGTTAAATCCTTTAAGGAAGTGAGTCCACTAGAATCAACCAAAAGCATTTTTATTCTACCCAAGATGAGGTCAGCAAGAGATGGAGAAGGCTTCTCCTACAAGCTATACATGCACTAAAAATACACGTGGGCAAACATTGCCTACCTGACAAACATTCTCCTTGAGTGCAGCTCCTCCACCACGTTCACCCTGCATTTTTTTAGAGGCAGGCAGCCCAGGGTCGTGTTCTACACCCTCCTCAACAGTCTCCTTGGGGCTTGCAGCCGTCCTGTGTGTCACTAGTTCTCCCTTGCAGAAAAAAAATTATGTCCCACATCTGTATTATTGATATCTCCTCCATCTGACCCCCTCCCTCTGGGCTGCTATTTGTCTAGCCATTAAGCACTTACAGATGTTCAGCCAATCACGCGGGCGGACTGCATGCAATGTTAGTTCTAACCCTGCTGTGATTGGGCGGGTAGTGGGCGCCTCATGCCCTGCCACTAACTGCTCTGAGGCTGTTCCACTGGAACTTTTTGAGATGTTCCATTTTAAGGTTTCACTAAGGGAGAGAAAACATTCTTAAGTTTATTTGATTACTTTTTTGTCCTTCCAAGATGAGTGTTTCCTAAATAATGCCCACCTTGGACATTCTATTCAAATTGTCCTGGAAAGAAACATTCTACATCTTAACGTGTGATGCTCATCTCACGTATTTTATTTCTCTGATTTGGAATGCCAGAGATAGCATCAATGACTGCACTGATGATCTGAAAGGAAATGACTTTAAATCTTTGTTTCCTCAAGGTCAATGTTTATAAACATTATCTTATAATTAAGCAGTCTGATGGACTCAAGAAATAAACAAAATAATTTGACCCATAATCACAGCAGTCTCAACTTTTAAAGGGCAATGTTCAAATTCATTCAGCTTATATGGTTACTTGGTATAGTACTTTCAGGTACTAAAACAGGTTTTCTGAACAATGAAACAGTTATCTATTTCATCTGACACCCAGAGCACAGGATCTGGTATTTTTAAAAGGCCATAAACACAGCTGCAATATGTGCCTCAGCTTAGGATTAGGCTCTCCTTTGTCTCCAAGAGTACTTACAGCTACTAGCCATTTCAATATTATACTACGCTTAAGTCAACTCAAGGGAAAGGGATGTGGCCTCTACTATGAAAAGCGGCTTCTCTTTGGAAGGTCAAAAGACCGGGAACCGAGTAATACCTCTGAGCACAGAGCCTCTTTTGGTGAGTCCTCATTCTTCACTTTTTTACACTGCACCTTGGCGGCAGCATGCCTCTGTCGTTTTCGCTTCCTCGGCTGATCAAATACCTTGGCAGTGCCTATGAGAGGAAAACAGGAGTTACCTGCAGGCTAACAACACACAGGCTCAAGGATTCCTGTCCTCAAGTAAACAGAACTCACAGGATTATGACATGGCAGAGTAAAAATCAACTTTAAAACTGATTTAATGCTCAAGCTTTGCAGATTAAGAAAACGGGAAAGAAGAAAAGACATTTATTCATGACTACATAACTAGTTGGAGAAATGGCTATATACGTGTGTGGGTGTAAGTTATGCTTCATATAGATTAGCTACTAAATATATAGGTTATTAAAGCAATTTAAATTTATACGATTGAAATGACAAACCTTCTGGTTCCTCAAAACATATGTATTTTTTGAATCGGGTCTCACTCTGTCACCCAGGTTGGAGTGCAGCGGCACCCTCACGGTCACCGCAGTCTCGACTTACTGGCTTCACCTCAGCCTTCCAAGTAGCTGGAACCACAGGCATGTGCTACCACACCCCGACTAATTTTCTTTTTATTTTTTGTAGAAACGAGGTCTCATCAAGTTGCCAAGGCTGGTCTCAAACCCTTGGTCTCAGACAATCCTCTTGTCTCCGCCTCCCCAAGTGCTAGGATCACAGGCATGAACCACCATGCCTAGCTCTCAAAAGTTTATTTTAATATCCTTATACATGGAGAGGAAATGCATTTACTAATAAGGACAGTATAATAAAATAGTAATCCCTAGACTCGAAGATTAGAAATTTAAGATTGAGAGTTGAAATATGTAAGATTGGCTGGGCTCAATGGCTCAGCCTGTAATTCCAGCACTTTGGGAAGCTGCCTGAGCCTGCAAGTTCGAGACCAGCCCAGCCAACTTGGTGAGATCTCATCTCTACAATAAATCAAAAACTAGCCGGGCGTGATAACGGGCACCTGTAGTTCTGGCTATTCAGAAGGCTGAGGCAGAAGGATCAATGGAGAACAGCAGGTCGACGCTGCGGTAGCCGTGAGTGCACCCCACTGCACTCTAGCCTGGGTGACAGAGTGAGACTCCAGTTCAAAAAAAAAGAGAAATATGTAAGAGATTTGGTTTGCTGGGAACAGGAGAAGGGACATCTTTTTATACATTAAATGATTTAAAGCAGGGCCCAGTCCCTGGGCCACAGACCAGTATGGGTTCGTGGCCTGTTAGGAACCAGATCACATAGCAGGAGATAAGTGGCAGGCAAGGGAGCAAAGCTTCATCTGTATTTACAGCTGCTCCTCATCACTCACGTTACTGCCTGAGATCTACCTTCTATCAGATCAGGGACAGCACTAGATTCTCACAGGAGCACAAACCCTATTGTGAACTATGCATGCGAGGAATCTAGGCTCTGTGCTCCTTATGAGAATCCAATACTTGATGATCTGAGGTGGAATTGAGGCAATGATGCGAGCACTGGAGACTGGCTGCAAACACAGACTAACATTAGCAGTGAGGTTTGAATGCACATCCCCGGCACCCCCGGGCACTGCAAAATTACCTTCCACGAAACTAGTTCCTGATGCCAAAAAGGCTGGGGACCACTGGCTGCAAGGATGTTCGTGCAATGGTAGTGCATCCTTGAACAACCAACAACATGAAATGAACGCATGGTCTCATCGTCCATATTCAGAGAAAGAAATTCCAGTCCCCTCCTTGTTTTCCATTAAACAAATTTCAACTGTTATAGAAACACCAAGAGGAATCGAAGAGGTATTTCATAAAATGTGCCAGAATATTTATGCTAAGTATCAATATGAGACTGGAGTTAGTGATCTTTTTTGTTTTCTTGAGTCAGGGTCTCATTGTGTCACCCAGGCTAGAGGGCAGTAGCATAAATATGATTTATCACAGCCTTGACCCCTTAGGCTCAGGTGATCCTTCCACCTCTGCCTCCCAGGTAGATCATATGTTGACATTTGGCTAACTATTATTATTTTTTTTTTTGTAGAGGCAGGGTCTCAGTACGTTGCAAAGGCTTGTCTTGAACTCCTGGCCTCAAGTGATCCTCCCTCCTCAGCCTCCCAAAGTGCTAGGATTACAGGCAGGAGCCAGTGATCTCTTTTTTGACTGCGTAACTGAGATGGAGAAGTTATGCTATCAAAACTACTCACAGGTCTGACATGGTGGCTCAAGCCTGTGATCCCAGCACTTTGGGATGCCTAGGTGAGCGAACTGCCTAAGCCCGCTAGTTTGAGACCAGCCTGGGCAACTTGGCGAGACCTCATCTCTACAATAAATCAAAAAATTAGCCGGGTGTGGTAGTGCATGCATATAGTTCCGGCTACTCGGAAGGCTGAGGCAGAAGGATCACCGGAGCCCAGCAGCTCGATGCTGGGGTGGTCATGAGCATACCACTGCACTCCAGCCTGGTCGACAGAGTGAGAATCCCCCAAAAAAAAAAAAAAAAAAACTATTCCCAGCTGGGCCCAATGGCTCATGTCTATTATCTCACTACTTTGGAAGGCCAAGGGAGGAAGATGGCTTGAGGCCAGGAGTTCAAGACCAGCCTAGGGAACATAAGAGACCCTGACTCTACACAAAAAAGGGAAAAATTAGCCAGTCATAGTGGTGTGCCATTATAGTGCTATCTATTTGGAAGCACTAGACTTCACTTGAACTCAGTAATTCAAGACTACAGTGAGCTATGAACGTACCACTACACCCCAGCATGAGCAACAAAGCAAAACCCTGTGTCTCAAAAAATGAATAAACAAGTCTAACACTAAAAGAAGAGTTAATGTGATACAAATGGAAAGGCTCAAAATGCTCACAAGCTGTAACATTTAGACAAAGTTTATAATAAACTATGTTGTTGGTTTTATTAAAAAACTAAAATATAAAGTATAGGAAAATAGCTGATATTATTTTGGAAGCAGTCAAACAAATGGACCAATCTATGAGATTAGCAATTGTCTGTATAATTAAAATAAGCCAACACATTGCAAGATTTACTTGTTAGAAAACGTAATAATCATGGGTCACATTAAAAGAAATGTGCATCTGAGACCAAAATATACAATCTTCCATTAATATTCTTTGCTAGCAGACCATATCTGGAGTAGAGTGCTCAAATCTGATATTCAAGAATAACACAAATCACTAAATGACACTGACAGAAGAATGAACAAAGCAGTAGAAAATCTGCCATGGATAACAAGACATCAGTAAGGCAATGAATTTGGTCAGGTCTGGATTTAGTTCCCTGAACCTACTGCCTTGTTCATCTTCACATTTCTTCTATCAAACAAGAATAAGAGTATTGATAATATCCTAACTCTTTGGAACGGTTTAGATGAATTAGAGGCAGCATTCCTACCAAAATCCTGGTAGAGTGGTTCCTCTTTTTATGAATATTGTATCTGTAAGCAAATAAACTATCCATTCCTTCGGGGAACAAAACTACAATCAACTAGAAGAGTTCTAGGGGACATATTCTAATATAATATAAAAGATTCCCGTGCCCTTGATTCCCGAGCCCTTAAGAGAAAACTAAAATGAAATACAATCAAATCCAAGTTCTCTTTATCAAGCATGTATAAACTGACCAAATGTCATAGATATGATAAAAGCAATTAAGATTGCTGGGCATGCTGGCTCACACCTGTCATCCCAGCACTTTGAGAGGCAGAGGTGGGTGGACAGCTTGAACCCAGGAGCTCAAGACCACTTTGGCCAACACAGCAAGACCTTGTATCTACATAAAAATTAAAGAAAAAATAAAATCTGTGCACGTGCCTATAGTACCAGCTACTCAAGAAGCTGAAGAGGAAGGATTGCTTGATCCCAGCAGGTTGAGGCTGTAGTGAGTGTGACCAAGCTACTACACTCCAACCTGGGACAGAGACACCAACTCTCCCCAAAAAAAGAATTAAGACTTAAGACTAAAGATTGACTCAGACTATTTATAATGTTCCTTTCAACCCAGTTCCGTATTTTCTGTCCTATAGAAATAAAAACGGAATCAAAGCCAAGAAACTATGAATGCAGTATGAAAAGTTAGATTAATAAGGAAAATAGCTGATTTTTCACTACTGTTCCAAATATTTCCTTATTTAAATATAATTTTAACTTCATTCAACTGATTAGAGTATAAAGGCTGAAAATGACAACAGAGTTTTCTAGTGTTATTCTAGTGTTATGCAGATTCAGGAAGCACATTGTGGACAAACCAGTCTTGGACCTTGTAACTTACTGGTCTGACTTCCAGACGTAACAATTTTTCTAGTTAATGGACAAAATGCTTCAAATTTTGTATTGCACTACATTTTTAAAATTTAAAACAAAAAATCTGCAAAAAAATCTTTTTCAAAAGTACTCACCCCCACCAAACTCTTTCAAATGAGACGCAGCGCAAGAATCAGTAATGCCATTCTCCAGGTGACCAGCTTCATAACACTATAAAAATAAGCAAAAACAACAGGGTTTACAGAAGAACAGAATAAGTCCTTTACCTTATAGGTCAAAGTCTGAAACGTCGATTGCCATATATATATACAAAATTTTGGTTGGTTTTGGCAATTAGAAGACTAGTATGATAATTGTAAAGAATTGAACAGAAACTTCATGGGGAAAGGAACCAGACTTTTTTTTAAAAGTTCTAAAAGACTTGTGACTACCAATTTTTTCTTTTTTCTTTGAGTTGGAGTCTCACTCTGTCACCCAGGATGGAGTGTAGTGGCATGTTCACAGCCACCCAGCATCAACCTGCTGGGCTCTGGCAATTCTTTCACCTTGGCTTTCCAAGTAGCCAGAACTACACGTGCATGCTACCTCGCCTGGCTAATTTTTGATTTATTGTAGAGATGAGATCTTGCAAAGTTGCCCAGGCTGGTTTAAAAACAAACCCACAGGCTCAGGCAATACACTCATCTCAGTCTCCCAAATTGCTGGAATTACATGCAGAGCCACTGAGCCCGGCTGACTATCAATATTCCTTAAGTGGGGGGAAAAAAGGCTGGCTCGGATAGTCTAATATATAAACCAGATATAGAATGCTGCTCCAACTTAACCAGATATAGAATGCTGCTCCAACTGAAGGGGGAGGAAAAAAAAGAAGGGGCACATGCCCAGAGACCCGCAAGCTCAGTTCTATTCCACTGCATCCTGTATTTAAAATCTACCTTCTTATTTTATATTATTTTGGAATCAGGGAATACACATGCATATTCATTACATGGACATATAGTATAGTGCTGGGGATTGGGTGTCAGGTGACCCATTCCCCAGATGGTGAACAAGTGCCCTGCAGGTAGTTTCTGAACACTAATTTCCCTTCGTCCTTATTGGTGTTCTCAGTGTCTATTATTTTCATCTTTGTGACCAGTTAGCTCCCAAATATGAGGGAGAACATGCAGTTGGAGATTCTGTTTCTGAATCAGTTGACTTTGGATGATGATCTCTAGCTCCATTCATGCTGCAATAGATAGTTTTTCGTTCTTTATTCTTTTTTGTGGCTGCTAAAAATCTACCTTCTTATAATTTTATTTACAGTCACTAGATTTGACACAGACTTATTTACATGACAAACTTCAAGTTAAACAGCTCTGAAACACCAAATGTCTTTCCAACTTAAGTGGCTTCTGATTATTCTAAATTAAAACATTAAAACTCAAAACAAAACATCAGACATCAAGAGTGTATATATATATATATATTTTTTGAGATGGAGTCTCACTCCATTGCCCAGGCTGCAGTGCAGTGGCACGCTTACGGCCACTGCAGCCTTGACCTGCTGGGCTCAGGCGATCCCTCCACCTCAGTCTTCCAAGTAGCTGGAACTTCAGGCATGAACTACAACACCCGGCTAATTTTTGATTTATTGTAGAGATGAGGTCTCGCCAAGTTGCCCAGGCAAGGCTTGAAACAGTGGGCTCAGGCAATCCATTCACCTCGGCCTCCCAAAGCGCTGGGATTACAGGCTGAGCCACCGAGCCCGGCCAAGGGTATATATTTTTTATTCTCCCACTACTAACACTTCTATGAATTAGTTCTATACCAAGCAAATATCTTGTCCTATAAACACAATATTCTTCATAACTGTAAAACAAAATTAAATGGCCACAAAAAGTCAGTATAATAGATCCCATTCTTGTAGAATCCCAATGTTTGAGACTAAAACAAAACATACAGCTGTCAATTTGATTCATTAAAATATATAAAGCATAAGAATACAACTTTTCTCATGTTCCATCCAAAGTTTTATCATGTCAAATGAAGTAAAGGGCTATTGTTAGATATCCAATTAAACAAATGACTCCTAGAAAAACCCTCAAAACACGCCAGGCGAGGGGGCTCATACCTAACAACCCAGCACTTAGGGAGCTGGAGGCGGAGGCAAGATTGCCTGAGCCCAGAAGTTTGAGAACAGCCTAGGCAACTTGGCGAGACCTCTTCTCTATGATAAATCAAAAAATTAGCCAGGTGTGGTGATGTACACCTGTAGTTCAAGCTGCTTGGAAGGCTGAGGCAGAAGGATCGCCTGAGCCCAGCAGTTGAGGCTGCAGCGAACATGTCATTGCATTCCAGGCTGGGCAACCGGGTGAGACTCTGACTCAAAAAAATAAAAAGAAATCCACGAAACAGACTTGTATAATTTAAAGAAAAACAGCACCAATATTATTTATATAATCTACCCTTCATTGTTTAACAGTCACCTAAAAGCTGTGGAACAAAATGATTAGAATGATCTGAAAACTACAGTGAAAGAATAATGCAGGAAAAATATTGTCATTTCCAATCTCAGCAAATTTACACATTAAAATAAAAATAGAACCATGCACACACACAAAAAAACCAACATAACATGAATAAACAAATCTGCTCTCCTTAGAATGAAAAAGAACTCAGAACTTTGTGTCTCAGAAGATATGACTAAGATGCCAATAACTTTCCTAACACATATAGTCCACTGTGAATATGCATTAAGCCAGTGTATCATTAAGGTACAACCTGAGGAGATAATCCCTCCCTCTCTAACCTACTCTACAGATTAAACTCTCTACAGATAGGGTGGACTGTCTGGTAACTCATAACCTAGTCCCAAAACTGAACTGAATCATGTCTTCAAATAGATACTCAACAATGAAGTAGACCAGGTTCAATGGCACGACTAACCCCTAAAACAGACCACTGTTCTTCAGCCTCTTGTGATAGCCAGCATCAATAATTCTGATTTTCAGCCGGGCTTGGTGGCTCAGCCTGTAATGCCACGCCTTTGGGAGGCTGAGGTGAGAGGATTGCCTGAGCTCGCGGATTCGAGACCCGCCTGGGCAACTTGGCGAGACCTCATCTCTACAATAAATCAAAAATTAGCAGGCTGTGCTAGCGTGCATCTGTAGTTCCAGCTACTTGGAAGGCTCAGGCGGCAGGATCGCCAGCGCCCAGCAGGCGAGGCTGTGGTGGCCGGGAGCGGCCACTGCACTCCACTCTGGGCGACAGAGTGAGACTCCAACTCAAAAAAAATAATAATGATAATTCTGATTTCCCCTTGCTCTAGTATCAAGTTTAATGCCTCTCAAAAAAGTAAAAATTCAACAGTGATAGATTTATGAAGCAGGTCATATGCTTTAAAAGGGACCAGAAACATGAGAGAGGGGAAGGGATAACTATCAGAGATTTTTTTAATGGAAATTCAGTAGTAAAATAACAGGACAACAACATGGGGAAAAAACTGATTTCAAAATTCATCCCAAAAATTCAAGATGAAACAAAGATCTGTATGTGAAACCTAGAACCACAAAACTCCTGAAAGAAAAACAAAGGAGGACTATCTTTGTGTCTATAGGGTACACATATATTTCTGGAACAAGACATAGAAAGCATTAAGCATATAAGAAAAATGTATATATTTAAATTTTTCTCATGAAAAGACACCACTAAGAAGATAGAGGAAAATCTCAGACTGAGAAAAACCATTTATAGTACATATATGTCACAAAGGATTTGTATGGCAACTATATAAAGCATTCCTTAGGAAAAACAAAAACAAAAAGCAAGAATGTATAACCTAATTAAAATGTAAGTATGCATCAGCACCCACTTCAAAAAGAACAGGAATGGCCAGAAAGCACATACCACAAGAGGCTCGACATCACCACACAGAAAAACACAAATTAAAGCCACAATAAGGTATAACTTCACACGCAGCAGAATGGCTGGGTCTCCTGTGACTGGCACGTCAAACGGCAGACAAGACGTGAAGGCACTGGACTCTTGTGCTGCTGCCGGGGTGTAAAGTGGCACGCCCTTTCTGGAGTGCTGCTGCGTGTCGTTGCTTACAAACTTCAGCATGGCTGGGCGATGTGGCTCATGTCTGTTATCCCACTACTCCGGGATGCGGAGGCAGGAGAACAGCTTAAGCCCAGGAGTTTTAGACCACTTAGCCACATAACAAGACCCTGACTCTGCAAAAGAATTTTAAAAACTAGCTCAGTGAGGTGGTGCATGCCTATAGTCCCAGCTACTTGGGAGGCTGAGGTAAAAGGACTGCTAAGGCCAAGAGGCTAGAGTGGTGAGAGCAGCCTAGGCAACAGAGTCGGAGACACTGGCTCAAAAACACAAAAAACAAAACCTTAAACATGTACTAACCAGAAATTCTTTGCATTTACATGAAGATAAATAAACATACAAGTCTGCTGTACATGTAAAAATGGACGTCTCTGCAAGTTCCTATGTTGGAAACTTAATCTCCAACTCGACGCTGTCCAGAAGCCGGGTCTTTAAGATGTTGTTAGGGCATGAGGGTGGTCATGAATTAATACTATCGGTGCAGCACAGTATTAATCCCAGCCAAAAGGACAGGTTCAGGTCCCTTCTTTTTACTCAAGAAAAGAAGTGCTCTTGTACTTCCACCTTCTCCCATGGGATGACAAGCTTGGCCTCGCCAGATGCGGGGCCCTCGACCCTGGACTTGCAAGCACTTCCCAGGGTCCAGACATGGGAACCAAATACATTTCTATTGTTTGCAAATTAACCAGCCTGTGGTATTCTGCTCTATCGACAAAAAACAAACTATGACAAAGAGACTTGGAAAAAACATTCACACCAACCTAATGATTAAAAGCCAAGTAAAAAACATCCAAAAGAGTATTAACAGGATATGGATAAAAAAAATTATGATATAATCATACAATAGTACACTATTTAGCAATGCAAAGGAATAAACTACATCACTGTGGGTATATCGTCAAAACACAAAATAAGCCGGGCTCGGTGGCTCAGCCTGTAATCCCAGCACTTTGGGGGGGCTGAGGTGAGTGGATTCTCTGAGCCCGCGGGTTCGAGACCCGCCTGGGCAACTTGGTGAGACCTCATCCTACAATAAATAAAAAAAAATTAGTCGAGTGTGGTAGCGCACGCCTGTAGTTCCAGCTACTTGGAAGGCTGAGATGGAGGGATCGCATGAGCCCAGCAGGTAAAGGCTGCGGTGGCCAGGAGCGGCTACTGCACTCCAGTCTGGGAAACAAGAGTGAAATTCCAACTCAAAAACAAAACAAAACAAAAAACACAAAATAAGTTCGAATAAATTTTTTTAAAAAGCCGGGCTTCAGTGGCTCAGCCTGTAATCCCGCGCCTTTGGGAGGCTGAGGTGAGTGGACTGACTGAGCCCGTGGGTTCGAGATCCGCCTGGGCAGCAAGACATCATCTCTACAATAAATCAAAAAATAAGCCGGACGTGGTAGCGCACGCCTGTAGTTCCGGCTACTTGGAAGGCTGAGGTGGAAGGATCGCCGGAGCCCAGCAGGTCGAGGCTGCGGTGGCCAGGAGCGGCCACTGCACTCCAGTCTGGGCGACAGAGTGAAACTCCAACTCAAAAAAAAAAATTTTTTTTTAAAATATTGGTATCTAATAATAAGCAAAATTAAGCCAAACATGGTGGCTCATACCTGTAATCCTGGCACTTGGAAGGCAAAGGTGAGAGAATTGTCTTAGCCCAGGTATTCAAGACCAGCCTGAGCAATTTGACAAGACCATGTCTCCACAGTAAGTCAAAAAATTAGCCAGGGATGGTAGCTCATGCCTGTAGTTACAGCTACTTAGATGGCTGAGGAGGAAGGATTGTCTGATCCCAGCAGGTCATGGCTGTGGTGGCCGTGATCATGCCACAGTACACCAGCCTGGATGACAGTGAGACTTTGACTTACAAAGATCAAACAGAACAAACAAAATTAATACATGGTAAGGCCAGGCTCGGTGGCTCAGCCTGTAATCCCGCGCTTTGGGAGGCCGAGATGAGTGAATTGCCTGAGCCTATGGGTTCGAGACCCGCCTGGGCAACTTGGCAAAACCTCATCTCTACAATAAATCAAAAATAAAAATCAGCCGAGTGTGGCAGCACGTGCCTGTAATTCCGGCTACTCGGAAGGCTGAGGCGGAAGGATCGCCAAAGCCCAGCAGGTCGAGGCCACGGTGGCTGGGAGCGGCCACTGCACTCCAGTCTGAGCAACAGAGTGAGACTCCGACTCAAAAAAAACCACATATATATATGGTAAGAGAAATAAAAAAGCATTATCTCTGGACAAGAGTAAGGAATTGACTGAAAAGAGGCAAGGCAAAAAAAAAAACTTTCTAGGGTGATGACTATAGAACGTACCTATTTTGGGCATATACATACTATTGTCTAAATTCATCAAACATGACAATTTAGACCGACACATTTTATTGATGCAAGTAAACTATATCTTCATTTAGGAAAAGAAACAAGTCTGGGATACATTTTGCCTGTATAAATTAAAGCTAAATATATAAATTAAATATTTTTAAACCCCTTAGAGAAAAAAACCCATAAAAATGACAAGTTGCATTTTAGATAAGAAACTACATTTTCAGTAAGGCTATACAAATGAACACAATTTTTAAAGTAACTTTGAAAACACTGAGAATCCATCTTATCCCTTCAATTCATTCAAGAAACAAGTGTACAGTCTAACTTTCTTTGAAATTGGCTACCCCTTCATCTCCAAAAATAATACCACTGCCTCCCCCATGACTCAAGTTGTTCAACACTACTAAACTCATCATCTGCTTCCAAAATATCACTCACATCCTCAAAAACATTCAACTGAATTCTGGATTCCCTTGCCCTTCCCATCTATCTCTTTCAACAATCTTGCAAAACATGGCTAGGATCTGAATGAGTTAAACCAGAGGGAAAGTGCTGCAGAGGAAAATGATCATAGGCTTATGAAGAGTATATAATTCAATGAGAGAACAGTGAGTAGGAGAGATGAGATTGCCACTGAAGGTTATGTAAACTACAGTGAAAGTGCAGAGGGCAGAGGAGGAGCCTAAGAATAATTTAAAATTCCAAGTCATATGACTGCTTTAAGAAAAATAAAGTAATTAAAAAGTATAGTGCTGTCTTTTTTTTTTTTGAGTTGTTGTCTCACTCTGTCACCCAGGCTGGAGTGCAGTGGCACGCTCACGGCTACCGCAGCCTCCACCTGCTGGGCACAGGTGACCCTTTAGCCTCAGGCTTCCAAGTAGCTGGAACTACAAGCACAAGCCACCACGCCCGGTGAATTTTTTATTTATCGTAGAGATGAGGTCTCGCCAAGTTGCCCAGGATGGTCTTGAACCCACAGGCTCATGCAATCCTCTCACCTCGGCCTCCCAAAGTGGTAGGATTCTAGGAGTGAGCCACTGTGCCCGGTGAGTGCTGTCTTTTAAAAAATAAGGTAAACACTGGGCACAGTGGCTCACGCCTAGAATCCCAGCACTTTGCGAGGCCAAGGTGAAAGGATTGCCTGAGTCTACTGGTTCGAGACCAGCCCGGGCAACTTAGTGAGACTTCATCTCTACAACAAATAAAAAAATTAGCCAGGCGTGGTGGCAGGTGCCTGTAGTTCCAGCTACTTGGAAGGCTGAGGTGCAAAGATTGCCTGAGCCCAGCACGTCGATGCTGTGGTGGACGTGAATGTGCCACTGCATTCCAGCCTGGGAAACAGAGTGAGATTCCAACTCAAAAAAAATTTTTTTAATTAAATAAATAAATATAAGGTATAAAACAACAACAACAAAAAATTAAGTTTTATAATTACAATAAACTAAATGGAAGAATATCTAACAAAAACAAAACCAAGGCGCCTTCAAGTAGAACTACAGGACAGAAGTTGGCTATAGCAGCCAGGCCTGGTGGTTTATGCCTGAAATCCCACCACTAGGAGGCCAAGGCAGGTGAAGCACTTGAGGCCAGGAGTTTGTGACAATCCTAGGTGACAGCAAGATCCCATTTCTACAAAATTAAAAAATAAATAAAAAGAAGTTTGTTATAGCAAAGTAAGGATATAAGTACAAAAATTCTATTTATAATTTCATTATTTTTTATTACATTTTTTTCTTCAACACCAAAACAAATTCAATAGAAAATCAGCACAATTTTCTTTTTACTTTTTCTTTTTTTTGAGTTGGAGTCTCAGACTGGAGTACAGTGGCCGTTGTGGACCTGCTGGACTCCGGCGATCCTTCTGCGTCAGCCTTCTGAGTACCTGGAACTACAAGCACGCGCTACTATGCCTGGCTAATTTTTTTGATTTATTGTAGAGATGAGGTCTCGCCAAGTTGCCCAGGTGGGTCTCGAACCCGCGGGTTTAGCAATCCACTCATCTCAGCCTCCCAAAGCACGGGATTACAGGCTGAGCACTGAGCCCGGCTCAGCACAATTTTCAACTTAATTTCTAAGATTTCCTCCAAATTAAGTTCTCACAATAAGAGTAGCAGGACATTTGTTAAAGAATCGGTATCCAGTCAACATCCATTATACAATTAGAAATTAATTTTCTGCTTACATCTGCTGTTTAATGATGCTTTCTGGGCTATTAAACAACCAACTCTGCAAACCCAGAAACTTAACATCAAATGCTTCTGCCCGGATTACAGCAGAGCTGGTGTTCTCTCTCTCTCTGAGTCAGAGACTCACTCTGTAACCCAGGCTGGGGTGCAGTGGCACGCACACGGCCACCGCAGCCTTGACTTCCTAGACTCAGGTGATCCTTCTACCTCAGGTTTCCAAGTAGCTGAGACTAGAGGTGCATGCCACAAGGCCTGGCTAACTTTTTTTTATTTTTGTAGAGACGAAGTCTTACCATGTTGCCCAGACTAAGTACTGAACACCTGGTCTCAAGCAATCCTCTCACCTTAGCCTCCCAAAGTATTGGGATCTCAGGTGTGAGCCACTGCGTCCAACCCAGAGCTGGCTCTTTTCTGAACAGTTACAAAGGCAAGGCAACAGGATAAGAATAGGCTAGTAAATTTATAGACAAATGTGAAGCAGAAGTCAGGTAAGAGCGTATATGCCCAGAAAACAAATTATAAAAAACACCAACTTAACCAATCTTAAAAATTATTTTTGAAAAATTTCACTTAAAAATAAAATCTGAAGCCAGATGTACATATGGCCACATAAATGCAAGACAGTCTTTTTAATATAGGATCTCTCAGATCATATATGGTTGCCGACACTCTATAATTTCTATGTGTATATACATAAATATTATTAACCCATTTAAAAAATCCCTTATTTCTTGGGTTTAAGCCTTATTTTAGAATTGACAAAAATAACATACCTTTTTAGAAAAGCCAAGTTCCCCCTTTTTGGGCATAAATCCAGGGTCTAAATCATTGGATTCAAGAAGTTTCTTAGTTGGTTTTCGTTGACGCTTACTTTCATAATTTCCTGAAATGTATGTATCTTTACATTAGGTGATTTAGAAACTGCACACAAGCTAATTTTTTAAAAAAGATATATACTATACAAAAGGAATTACAGAATCTATACAGCACACAAAATCAGTCGCAATTTCACTAGCTTTTCCTCATCATCTCATGACAGTATTTCTCACTAATGTAAGAATGTTCACAAAATAACGGGAAGACTGTGTGTGTGTACTTATTTGTTTGTTTATTTACTGAGTCAGAATCTCACTCTGTCTCCCAGGCTAGAGTGTGGTGGCATCATCACAGCTACCACAGCCTTGAACTGCTGGGTTCAGGTGATCCTTCTGCCTCAGCCTTCCAAGTAGCTGAAACCACAAGTATGTGCCACCATGCCTGGTTAATTTTTTTTAAGTTTATTGGATAGATGCAGTCTCACCAAGTTGCCCAGGTTGGTCTCGAACCCCTAGGCTCACTCAGGCAATTCTCTTGCCTCTGAATCCCAAAGTGCTGGGGTGACAAGTGTGAGCCACCTTATTCGGCTGTGTGTACATCTTTTAAATCACAAAATAACTCAGCGAAAAATTAAAAGGGCAGAACTACTTTTATAGTAATTAGTTATTGGAAAGGGAAAACAAAAAGAAGTAAAGTGAATCCTGGATTATGAGTATAAATGAACCAGGATTATAATTTGTGCTCTGCCATGAGAAAATAAAAAAGTAAATAAATCACAGCTAGTAGGACTGCTCTTAAGAATTATATCAAAGAGCCTAATAATAGGGTTTGGCACATAATAGGTACTAAAATAGGAACTGTCTTAATTATTCATTCAAAAGTCTTTTTGATTTTGGTTTACTTGATTAGCACAACTGGAATGTTAAAAAGTTATATCTAACATTTAAACAAGTACAGAAAAGGATTTTTGCCATTTCTTGGATGACTATAATATTCTATAGTCAAAAGGTGAATTCGAGACAGCATGCTTAGCTCTAACTCTCCCCAGGTGAGATAAACATAAAGATGAGAACATAATAGGTAACTGGTAACCCACACCTAGGAACATTTATACTTGCTACTTCCTTGCTATGCACAAGGTACATAACATCACACATTAATACATTGTGATCTCCATTTTATGGATTAGGAAACAAGTTAAGAGGTTAAACAAGTTCCTGAGCACCCCAGGGCCAGTAGAGCCAGCACCTAGCGTGCAGCTCTCAAGCGTCTATTCCACGCGTGTGCTGTGCCCTTCCAGGTCCCGCTATCCTGGATCTGATCCGCACCGTGGTTGAGACACAATCATGTAGAGCGACAGTGGAGCAAGAGGGTGGCTTATACAAATCTATCTTTTGACAGCCACAAATTAATCCATGGTAACTAGCGAGCTGACCAGAATTTTAGGGATTTCCCAAGACAAAAGTGGGTAGTTTCATTGCATGTAGATACACTGCTGGCTATACATACAAGCATACTAAAATCTCCTGCTCCTTTCACCATTTCGAATAAATACTGAGACCCCATCCCGACCTTACCTGGTGTTTTCACTAGCAATTCCTCAGACTCAAGGGCAGGCCGTGGAGAGACTTCCGGAGCCACAGGCACAGACAAGGTCAGCTGTGGCAACTCAGCATGGCCACCTCCAAGTTCTGACTGAGCCAAGGGCCCCTCCAAAAACGGAGCCTCCCTTTCAAGAACTGGAGGCTCTTCTTTGGTTGAAATCAAAGAATTCTCGTCCACCTGCTTGTTCTGAGCACTAGAACGACCTCGGACTAGAAGGTTTTCCTCTTCACAGCGGGAACTTACCTGAAAACAAAAAATAAAAATACAATCCATCAGCCGCAATTGTTATAATTTGAGTGTCAAAAAGAAAAATGCACTTTAGGCAGGTGCAGTAGCTCATGCCTATAATCCCAGCACTTTGGGAGGCCAAAGCGAGAGGACTGACTGAGCTCGGGGGTTTGAGACCAGCCTGGGCAACATGGTGAGAGACCCTGTCTCTATGTGAAAAAATAAAAAATTAGTCAGGCAAGGTGGCACACACCTATAGTCCCAGCTACTCGGGAGGCTAGGGCAGAAATATTGCCTGAGCTCAGCAGGTCGAGGCTGTAGTGGCCATGAGGGTGCCACTGTACTGCAGCGTGGGCGACACAGTGAGACTGACTAAAAAAAAAAAACAAAAAAGCACAAAATCCCATTAAAAGGAATAAAATTCAAACCCATGCTACAAAATGGATGAACCTTGAAGACATTATAATAAGGGCAATTACCCAGACACAAAGAACAAATATTACATTGATTCTACTTGTATGAGGAATCTAGAACAAGAAAATTCGTAAGACAGAAAGAAGAATGGTTGTCAGGAGCTGGGGGAAAAGGATAGTTGTAAGAATTTTAGTTTGGGGCTGGGCATAGTGGCTCAAGCCTGAAATCCCAGCACTTTGGGAGGCTGAGACAAGATGACTGCCTGAGGCCAGGGATTCGAGACCAGACTGAGCAACTTGGTGAGATCTCGTCTCTACAATAAATTTTAAAAACTGCCCTACTATGTCACCAATGAAAACAATTATTCATAAATTCCTTAATGTTAAAATTAGTAGTTATGGGGAAATAAGCACTTATTTCTGACTTTCAAGTATTTCAGAAAAATAAGAGTTCAGGTAATGAAAGAGAATGCTGGCTAATAAACATACAGGAAATAATAAAATCAGAAAGCCTTCATTTTGTATGCCCTAATGAAATTATAGAGAATCTTCAACTGGTGTTTTTAAAAAACCATCAAGGAAATGGATGGTGGAAAATATAACATTCTTTTTGAACTTTTTTCTTAAAGTGAGTACACACATATTACTTATTGGTTAAAGGGAATAAAATACAACTTAGAGAGGAATCAGTCACCACTGTGGAAAACTAGTCACTATATACCTTTTAATGTCATATAATATGTTACACAGTATTCTCTCTAATATTGTCTAGCTAAAAATGTTTAACTTCAATCTATCAAACTGATCATTCTAAGTTCCACTAACCAAAAATATACAAATAAGCTAAGCTAAGTGACACCTATAAGGAAGCAATCCCACAAATATAGAAAGTAGGTAACTATATGTTAAAGTATCTCTCTCTCTTCATTAACAGATATACTCATTTTAAAAAAGTAATTGCTCTGGATTTATTTATTGTAGAGACGAGGTCTCACCAAGTTTTCCGGGCTGGTCCCAAACACATGGGCTCAGGCAATACTCTCACCTGGGCATCCCAAACTGCTGGAATTACAGGCTTGAGCCACCACGCCCAGACTGTCCTGGATTTAAAGAATTTTAATAACCATAACAACCAGATATAATGTGTAGCCCTGTCTCTCCCTAGCTTTTTTTTGTTTTGTTTTTTTTTTTAGTTCGAGTCTCACTGTGTTCGCCCAGACTGGAGTGCAGTGGCCGCTCCCAGCCACCGCATCCTCAACCTGCTGGGCTCCGGCGATCCTTCCGCCTCCAGCCTTCCAAGTAG